CCTTGGAAGTATTTCCTGGGCATAGAAGTTGCTCGTAGTTCTACAGGTCTGTTTTTGTGCCAACAGAAGTATACTTTGGATATTATTTCTGAAACAGGTTTGTTGGGGGCAAAGCCGAGTGGTTTTCCCATTGAGCAAAACCACAAGCTCAGCCTTGCTACAGGTGAGCTTCTTACGGATCCGAAGTGTTATTGTAGGCTAGTTGGCCGTTTGATCTACCTTGCGGTCACTAGACCTGATTTGGCGTACTCTGCTCATATCTTGTCTCAATTCATGCAAGAGCCTCGCAGTGAACATTGGGAAGTGGCTCTGCGCATAGTTCGTTATTTAAAAGGTACCCCAAGTCAGGGTATTTTGTTGAGTGCTGAGAGTGATCTAACCTTGCAAGGTTGGTGTGATTCAGATTGGGCGGCTTGTCCTCTTACTTGTCGTTTTTTGTCAGGTTGGTTGGTGTTTCTTGGGCATTCGCCTATCTCTTGGAAGTATAAAAAGCAACACACGGTTTCAAAGTCTTCTGCTGAGGCCGAATATCGGTTTATGGCGGCAATCACAAGTGAGCTAAAGTGGCTTAAGGCCTTGTTGTTGAGCTTGGGTGTGCGACACCCAAAGGTAATCAAGTTGTTTTGCGATAGTGAGTCTTCTTTGCACATTGCAAAGAATCCGGTTTTCCATGAAAGAACCAAGCACATTGAAGTTGATTGTCATTTCGTTCGAGATGTGATTAATGAAGGCTTAATTTCTCCATCATACGTTTCTATTTCTTCCCAATTGGCCGACATCTTCACGAAGGCCCTTGGGAAATCCCAGTTTGATTATCTTCTCTCCAAGTTGGGCATTTTTTACACTCATGCTCCAACTTCAGAGGGGTATTGAGGATATATTTTGTGAAATATTTTGTGGGAATAATTGGTAGTTATTTGGGGTTATCTTTTATATTGTTTTCTAATCTCTAGTTACCAATGTTATGGTAATTCTAGGGTTAGGATTACCTATATATCAATTCATTATTGAGAATTAGGCCATAAGTTCATACAAATTCTACACCTTTCAAACACTATTTTAGTCTCAGTTTTTGACAAAGATATCATAACTCAATCTTTTATCAAAAAGCTTCACAATCAATGAATTTTTCCAAGGTTGTCTTAACCTTTGTTTCTCCACTTTTGAAATTCGGATCACCGGCAGCTTTCATCATCAGATTCTCCCTTTAGGGATCCTCTTGATCAGAGATTTCATCTTCCTCATCAAATAGGGCCTATTTTTAAGGTTCAAGTCACCAAACCTTGTTCCAGCCTTAATGTAGGAGTTTGGTGCTACCACCGGAATTTCCTCATCTTCCGCTTGAATATCATCAGCCTCTAGCATAGAAACATCTTCTATGTTATTAGTGACTTTCTTGAATTTTTTGTTTGATCTTTGCAAAAGATCATTTTCTTCACTAGAGAGCGTTAGGGTCTTCTCTCAGTCTCTTGCATGTTTTCTTACGACTTACCAGAGTAGTGATTTGTAATTAACAAAAAGAATATTAGAAAAACTTTTACGAAATTACAAATTACATGAAAAAAAAATTAAAATGGATACAATTTTTTTAATCAACCCAATGTAAAATCAGTTTATGATAATATGCATATTCGGTGCCAGTGACATCAGTTTAATCAAAATTGACAACTTTGTTTATCTATTGTTAATATGTTCTCATTCTTTTTGAAGATTGGTTATGCGATAGAAATAACTAAAAGATGTATCATTATTAATGATACTGATTGTAACACCCCCAATTTACTAGATAATAATAAATAATAAATAAAGGAAAAATAAACAAACTTTGAATAAAACTGCGGAAGCATACACCTAAATCGGAGGTATTACCGCCACACTCAACAACTTGTCAAATGCTAAGGCTCACAAAATCCCAATAATTACAACCCAATAAACTAGGTGAGCTATTTATACAACTTTACAAACTTGTTATAAAATACTAATCGAAACACTTGAGCTCCTTTAGCTACGATCACTTGATCAACCTGTTTAGACAAACTTGATTGCTCACCATTAAGGACAAATCCCAAAATAGATTGTCGCAGGGCCACCATAAGAAAAAGACATGGCCGCAAACACAAGTAGCAAAGCAAACAAACAACACACACGTAAGCAAAAAGCTGAGTAATCACCACTGATCAAAATACAAAGAACAATAGAATAATTAATATAAATAACTCACTTAAACAATGTAGTTCGAAACTACATTACACATTGTACTCTGAAATAACCTTTGTCAAATCCAACCTCGAAAAATAATACGATCTTTTACTCAATTAACTCATTTATCCCATAAGTGTGCCACGCTCTTTGTCTTATACCTAGCCTTGGACATGAGTAATTCGAATAAATAAACCAACAAGTATAAAAACTTGAATACTCTCAATAACCAGAAAACACCTTAACCATGACCAATATGGGTCAAATCCCACTGTAGGGGACCATAAAAAAATATATATAAATAAAGATTGTACCTCATTCTTAACTCATGATTATCATCTCCTTACCACCATGCCAAGGACTAAGGTAATTAACATCGAGCCTCAAACCAAGAACAAAATAATTATCTCAACCTTTTGGTCTCATACTTGATCAAATAACCATTCACAAGTTAATAAACAATATCTCAATAATGGCACAGGTTCCCAAATTATATAACATGACGTACTCGATTCATATAATATCTCAACACTTACAGGGCAAACATACTAGCTCCCAAATATAATTAACTCACAACCCAAAAATAATACTCTGCATTAATGACCCTAAAACCTCAATAATATAAAACAATACTCCCTATAGCAACAACATTAGAAACCCTAGCATAAATAACACAATCAATCGATACGACACTTAAATCATATAATAAAAGATACAGCACACTAATCACATACGAGTATATATAAATCTTTTATCATACAAATAACAAATTATAAAATTTACACACAATACTACGTTGTACAATCAATAAAAACAATAACTTATAATTAAACAATTCTAAAGATTAAGATTGGTGTGATTACTAATAAAAAAAAAATTATAAAAACATACGACTCCAAAACGACAAGTGTGATTACCTTTCCGACGAATACCAAAACAATTACTCCAGCACTCCAAGTAGAATGACACGCAAATTGCACAGTGAGTGATGAGCAAAATAATTAAGTCAATCAATTGCACGCCACTCGAAACTCACGTCCAATAATTGATCATGAGAAAATGAAATGGTGTACATGAGCTCTCGTAAAATTTGTATCAAAGGTAAATATAAAAGGCTTGATGCTAAAAGTTTGGGTGAATTCATAAATCAAGGTATTGCTTGATAAGAAAATCAAGGTTCTGATTGTTTCAAAAGCAAAAGTGACAAGTAAACGGCAAAGTAAGAAAATAAATCATAATGCAGTAAAACAATTGATAGCTATAGAGTATAAAATTCATAAAATAATTTAAGATATATATATTATTCATAAAATATATTTGATAAATTCTTTAAATATTAGGGTATTACAATCTACCCTCCTTGGACGAAACTTAAAAAAAAATAACTTACTCGTAAATTTGATAGAAAGTAAAAACCAAATTAAACTTTTCTTTATAAAATATATGTAGACAGAATATAGAATTATTAAGGGGTATTACAGATTGGTCAGCAAATTTTCTTGTTCCATAGACCAGTTTTCTTCCCAAATGCCAAAAGTTGCTCAATTTGTTCATCCTATCCTGTTGGTGGAGGAATTGTATACATCTATTCTAATACCGGTATCAAATTATTTTTAAACTATTTATGTAGCATTTTCTTCACATGAAGCGGGAGGATTCATTTTGCGTGATTATGTCAAACACACAATCGATCAACGAATAAAGTCTGATAGCTTTGATTGGATTGATGTTGTAGTTTGACATGCATTCATCCGTCCTGTTTACTCTACCTTATACTTTTATTTGCGTTTTTGTTTTGTTCCAAAAAAAAAGAAAAAAAAATATTGGATTTAATAATCTCAACTTTAGTCCATTCACTTTTAATAATCTATTATTGAATAATCCCAACTTCAAGGGTGTTCGCTTTTATTAGTCCCATCATCACCTAACTTATTATAATAAGGTATTAGACACGTGTCATCACTCATCACCCAATTGGTTCAAAAAAAAAATATAATAAATAAATAACTAATCAAATAAATAATACAAATTTTTTTTAAAAAAAAACCAATCCAAAACCCCCAGCCACCACCTCCGGCACCCCTAACCCCCCAAAACCACCGCCCCTCCTCATCCAGCCACCCCAAAAGCACCTCTCCTCCCCTAGCCCACCACCGGAAACCCCACCATCTTCCCTTTCCAAACCCTAAAACCCATTCCCTAGCCCCGAAACTACATCCCCACCCCTTCCTCAGCCTCGAAAACCTCCAAAAGAGGCGTTTTAGTGTTGGGAAAGGGGAGAATGGTGGTTTTTGTGGTGGGGGATAGGAGAGGAGGGGTGGTTCTTCGCAGGTAGGGGTAGGAATCAAATCGGTTTCCATGGGTGGGGGTGGGGACTGGGGAGGATGGGGCTGCCGGAGATGGGGAGGGGAGAGGTGGTGGCTGGTTTTTTTTTTTTCACCAATCACTTGCTTACTCGTGTCCACAGAAGCTTGTAAGCTGGATTTTTGAATAGTTTGGTTATTTGATTAATCTTGGCTTTGATAGCTTTGTTAAAAATAAGATGATATTCGCATTTACCATTAAGCATATTTATCTCCAGACTAATATTATGCGTGTTAATTTAATGAGGTCTTGAATCCTAGTGGCAAACTTTAAAGGCTTGTTAGTAAATTATAGGGAGTAATTTCTAATGCCTTTGGAGCTCATTCGAACTAAAAAATGCACCTAGTATTGTGTAACAGACTCACCTCAATTGGTGTCAAAAAACTCATCGCCACATACATGCATCAATTATTTAACCAAAGGATAACAATTATAAGTGAAATATTATAAGAGAAAAATACACACCTTATTATTATTAAAAAAAAAAATGATTTAACTCATGACTAGATTTTTACACTCTTCTGTACAAACCTTTAACCCCTTGGCTCTTCAGTACAACCTAAATGGCACTGACATTAAAAATCCTATAATTCCTCAATAAATCTTCAACAAAGACCCGAATGGAATCAAAACAAAAATGCAAGCTCACAACCATGCTGTGACCTAAAGAATATGACGTCGCTAAATTGAACCAAAACTACGTACCAAACCAGCTGCTCCGGTGCAGGGATTGGAGAAAAAAATATTTTCGTCAAATAAATTTCTAATAACCCATCTATTACAAAAAACAAAAAAGGGCAAGTTATTGGGAGCAGAAGCAGCCTAAAAACACTGATGCTGTCCCTTCACACCAAGATGAATGAAGTATCACTGCAGAAAAACACAGGATAGTCAGAATTGCCGTTAAGCAGTGACAGATGAATCAGAAGATCCCAAGAACTGTAGATGGAGTTCATAGTTCATACAGATTCATAAGGCAAGATCCTTCAATACGCAATTCCAGAGAAAACTGAGACCTGCTGACGATGCTCAAAACAAGTGCAAGGCCATTTTTAGCTTATTCTGCTTCCACTTAGGTAGCTTATAGAAAGCTTCTTTTGCCATCCCGAATTTTTCCTTGAACTCCGCTGCAGAGAGGTAAGTCTGCACAAACATAGCAAATTTCAAATAAGAAGCCTGAACTTGTTACAACCACGCCTTTAGATGTCCAAATAAAATTTTTCTGTGTTTTTTTTTTCTTGGTAGAGGGGGGTGGATGCTAAAGCGAGCAATAAAGAGACAGACCTCCCGCTTAGTGACATCAATATCAGAAATAGGATCAGTTGATATTGTTTTCAAACGTTCATATGGGTATATGGTGAGTCCCTCCTCATCTTCAGCCTCATCCTCCTTGGAATCCTCTTGTATGCTACCCATGGAATTCTCCTTGGAATTTGATTCCGGCTTTGGTGTTTCTTTAGGAGATTCTGAATTCACTTTAGCATAGAACAAAGGATTCTTATAAGTTTGATACAGAGGAATAAAATTCTACTATATTTCAACACAGAAACTTCAAGGATGCTTACCTTTACGAGAGCGGGGTATAATAATAGGCTCTCGTGGAGTTTGCTCAAAAGTTGAAGTAAGTGCTGCAATAGCAGCAGCTTTTGGAGCTGAATTGGCGGAATCAGGGGTGACTGATTTTGGATAAAGCTTTCTAACAACCGGAGGTGGTGTTGAAAGATTTCTGGTATTTTGGCTCTCAAAAGTAGCAGCAAGTGCATTAAATGCAGGAGACCTGCCTCTCACCCGCACACGGTCTGGGCTGAAAGACATACTCCTTGAACGGCCCTGAGATTTATCTGGCACACTGGACCTTCCCCCATATGATACAGGTGTTCTCCTCTTTGGTTTCTGGATACACATCGAATAATCAATCAGACAATACATAAAACAGGATCACAAGATAAAATTGTTACCCTTTTCAACTATATCAAGCATACAACAATGACAATTGTGATACAAGTTAAATGAAATATAACGAGGATGGATATGCAACTGCAGTGGTTACTGAAGTGTACTTACATTCACTGAGGGGGTCCCTCCATTCTTTAGTGATAATAATTTTCTCTGGAAAGAGTTACCATGAATCTGTCCGAAAATAAACAGTAAAATGTAAATGCAGAGTTTAAAATGATGCTTTCAATAATGAAATCATGCAAAAATACTGTAATACTAACAGTTGATCTTTCCGCGTCCCATGTAAAAAATCGAGTGAAGAAAGGGGGTTCGCCCCCTTCCATGACCACGTATATAGGCACTTTAGGGGAGAGCTTCTCTAGAAGAAAATCACGTTCCACAAATTTCTGTCACAAAACAAGATCACAGTTCAGAATTATCACAAGGGAACACATCCTGATAAAATAAAAATGTTAAAAGATTAGATTCATAGAAATCATGACAAGTACAAGAGTGGTGTTGGCTCTACTAACTAGAAACCAATTTATAAGAGGCACAACTAAATTCTTTGCTATAAAAGTACAGGCGTACAGCACAATCTGTGGAAGGTTTTCTGTTAAATCATCAACCTCCAGAAGATGATCCTTCAGTGAAATTGAATAAACGAATGAATGAGTGGCTTGATGTCACTAGTTAGAATAAGAAACTGTCACTGATACAGTATTCATTCCAAAGCTCCACTAACATCAAAAAAATAAATAACTGGCACTCAGCCCACTCTTCCAGTAAAGGTTCAAATAATCGACTGTTCTCTTACATGAAAGTCTAGAAATGGATGGTGTAAGAAAGTGGGCCTGGAAGAATATTAGATAACTCAATTATGATTCAGCATTTGAGTAAGATTTTATTTCAGCTCAAACAAATAAATTTTTAGATCTTTAGAAGACATCTAGATAAATTCCAATAAGTTCAAAGGACGGCAAGTAAAGTGAACTTCACATCTATAATAACTACTGAAAAGTTGCAGTAAGCTCAGATAAGTCCCAAGTTCCCAATGAATAAAAATAATCAGGTAAAGTAATTAATTACCAAGTGAAAACAGCAAAACCCTAGAGTAGATACCATGAACCTACTAAGTAAAATTAAAATAACAGATGTAAATCATCAGTCATCTGATTGTGATATTTTGTACTCTTTATAGCTCCTTGGAGGATGTCCCTTTATTTTAGAGTGTTTATTAAATGATGTATAGTATGACTGATCAACTGGCAGACAACTTTTCATTACTAACTTTCAGAGGTGTTTTTGTCCTCTTCTGCTGCATTAAAAATTCTCAATACTCTGATCCAATGATATATTTCTGTCTTAAATATTAATATAAAACAGCATGGCAATATTTCAAGACAATCTGCAGTGAAGTCTGAAGCAAAGTGTAGCTCCCAACAAAATAAAAAGTTACCTCCCCAATAGTCAAAGCTTGCATTTTGGTCTTGGAATCCACTTGTTGTCCGACCCACACAAATATATCCGAGTGACAATCCAATATAAATATATCTTCAGTCATTAGATCATCCTGAGAGAAGTTATATATTTCTGCCACCTGTGATTAACATTACATTAGCAGAAATTTCATAAAAAAAACTAAAATAAATTATTAAATCACGAAGAATTTCACAGATTATGTATCGTAAAGTGATGAATATCACTAAATATTCAGTGGTAACTCAACGAAGTCCATATCATAACTTGCAATCGCAGATATTGTCATGGAATTAACCATGAGAAAAGTGAGTCTGCCCTCATAAAGAAATTTAAAATTTTAAATCCCCAATCGAAAATTAATTTGGTATTAGTTAATCCATTATGAGTCCAAGACAATCAACAAACAATCAAAAATCACATATTCACGTAATATTGTATCAGACTAGTTGATGACTTTTGCAGGGCAAAGAAGTGCTTGTCCACCACATCAAGTTCTCTCAGATATTGGGTTTTAGAACTCAGCCTACAAGTGTTTCTATAGTTGACTACTAATAATATTGCTCCAAATGAGACAGAAAAGGCTCACAAATTATAATGTTTTATGAAAGGTCATCCCACTTTCCTTATAGAGGGCTGAAGGTGCAGAAGACTACTCCAGCATGATACATAAAAATGCTTTTGTCCAAAATTGAACACCACTAGTCTAATCAGGAAAAATGAACTATAACAGAAGAGTGTATCGAAAATAATAATGCTTAAACATAAGATAAAGTTGCATAATTTACACACCTTCAAAACTCCTGTGCGCCAGCAGCAATTCATCAACCAGCAATAAAAGAGAAGTAAAAACAGGAAAATGTCAGTGGATATATAAAATTAAAAAACCGAGTCATATAAGATAGAATACATAATACTGAATAATAACTAAAGACCTTTAGAAAAGTGGACAGAAAATAAATGAGGATCATTTTCAGGTTCTCTGGCAATCTTCTGGCTTGGGTATTCGGATTTCTCTCCTAGCAACTGCCAGAACAGTTCAGATTCTGCTCCTTCTTTTTGTGTTTTGCACTGCAAGTTTGGCTGCAGAAAAACATGTAGACTAGAATAAATTATTGGTTTTTATCATACTAAGCTAGAGGAAATACATCCAAGCAATTCACTCCCCAGTGCCCACAACCCAGCTAGCATAAAGAATAAGTGGTGAACACCCCAGAATCCAGATGGTGCCAAAAAAAAATATCTTACAAACATAAAAGATAAACTTCAATTAATAATGATAATAATGATAGTTTAACACAAATGAACTTCTCCTAAAAATTTAATGAGCAATACAAACTAAATAACAACTTAACAAGGGATCACCACAAATGAAAGAAACAAGTTATCCCTCCTTGCCTTAAGGAATTACTGGGTTAGAGTGGAAGAGCAAAGTTTCCGAACCTTGATAATATCCAACTGCCTCTCAACAAGTTCCTGATCCTCTGCTGACGTGAGATTTCCGGACCAAGAAAATACAGTGGAGCCACTATGCAATATGTAACAGTATGAAGAATTTAAAGATGATGGTACCTGATGCAATTAACCATGATTAATTAATGCAAGTAATATGAAATAAGCAGATGATGATAAAAAATGAAATCGCATGATAAAAAAACAGATTATAATCGTTGAAAGCTTGAACACAACCCAAGCATCTTCTCACACCCTTCTCCCCTGCCCCAACAAAAATAATAGGCTTTTTTAAAGAGGCTTTGACAATTTCAGAAGAAATACCCCTCAAAAGAGTTGCAAAAGATCTAAACTAGAAAGGAAATTCTCCTTCCTGATGCATCAATATCTCAGAAAATAAGTTCTTATCAACCTTTAGGGGTGGGACAACGAGGTATATCTCTATGCCTTTGATTACTATTCCAAGCCGCCCTCTTTAGCCAGAAACATCCATTGATTGAGGTCATCCTAGAAATTGATTTTATATCAAAGGTTGGGCTAACACCAAACAACATGCCAATTTGGATTTACATTACATATGATGATTATGTGAGGAATAAGAGCCAGATTCCCCATTTAAGTTCCCTGGGGACATCATAGTTGCTAAGGGAAATTGCATACTTGCATTTGCCTTCATGAGACCTGATGTCAAATTACACTTTGAAGACTTTCACATAGAGATTTTTCTGGAGAAAGGCTATAGGCCTATAGCCTTACTATTTCTATAGATATGTCATAATTATGCAAGTGTAAGAAATACAGTAAACATACACACCGGATCTACTTGAATAGCTTGCATATTCTCAGGTCCAGAACCCTGAACTCGAAACAAAGCAACTCCATCTTCTGTGTATGTGTCATCAGGAACCTCCTTCTCAGCAATGTACTTTTTGTATCCTTCACTTAGTCCACCCTGAATTTTCATAAAATTTCATGCACAATCAAAGTAGAGATACTAATGAATATTCTACTGGTACGATTGAAAATTTTGAGTATCTACACACCTTGAAAACAATAAAACTTTGAAAGATGGCAAAGAACTGGATCGGCTCACTTCCTTCGTAAAATCGAGCCTTAAAAAAAAAGAACATTGAATATCAGATACAGGTTATAAAAACAAGCCTCGTCAGAGAAATTGGGAAATGGTTGTGTAACAGTAATGATATGGTACCTGAGTTGGTACAAACTTCATGGTTTCTACCATCTTGCTAGCCAGGGTTGTGGCTGATATTTGTTCCTCCTGTAGGCATAAACAACATGCACGATCAGCGCAAAGCAAGGAGGCCATCACATATTCACATGGCCACAAATTATTTGAAAGTATCTGTATGTGTGTATTTGTGTGGATACAAACATAGAAACATAATACAAATAATACATCTATACACGAAAAGGACATGAAAAGGCACCAGGATTGAGAGCACTATTTCATATTTGTTCAGATAAAAATCGTTTCCACCTAGCCAAACTATATTTTTCTGATGATTAATCTGTGCATGTGACTATTTCATGATGATTATGGGCATCGTTGCCTCAAACTGATCGAACCATGGGGCATTATTGCTGTCACAACTCACAAGGGTTATTGGGCAGATTTCTATATAGACCCAATTTTGATATTTAAGTCCGAGATGGTTACAGCTTACTATTTTAGATATTCTATATGGTTCTGGAAATTAAAGGGATGTTAAGGGTTTTTATGTCTTATATAAAGGCGTCATTAAAAGCTATCAACCTCCCAACTTTGGACCAGGTCAAATTGACTGAACCATGAAATCTGTGGGTTCCTGGTTCTTTTCTTTTCCTTTTTTTTCAACTAATGTTTACTGTTGTCTGTGTTCCACATATATCAAACACCAAGGTTGTGTTCTCTACACCTGACTAATCTTAGTTACCAGCCTAAACTTATCTGTACTTGTTTGCACCTATTAGAACTTATTGTAGTGGTTTTATTGGCCCAAAGCTTAATTTGTATGAACTTATATTGCCTGAGATAAGTTAAAATAAGGTGAGAATAGATCTTACGCCTATCCTCAAATTCATAATAGCAATGCTACTCAATAATCAGTCATCTTTCAGAGTTTCACATCAAACTTAGTTTCTAAGTCTTATAAGCATTAGTGGTTGAACAATTGCTATTTCATTTCATTTTCCAAAATATACTTCTGATCCAAGCAAGTCTTTGACTGCGTACTATGCTAAGAAACAGAAACATTAAATACTAACCTCAATGCTTTGCTTCCCAATCCATGTTCCGATAAGTTGTTCCTCCTTATCTTCTCCAGGGTAAGAATACTGAAAGATGTAGCTGTCTCCACTGTAGAACTTTGACTGATCAGAAGCAGAGAGGAGACTCTTCTTACTACCATTTACACGCCAAACCTGCACAACCATTGTAAACAAAAACATTAGAAGCTATAACAATATTTTTACACCACTCATGGGATTAACAGCAGAAGCAGTATCTGTGAGTGCAGGAAAAGTAATGTGGTAGCAATTGCTATATTGGGTGCAATGTTGGAGAAGAGCGTCAATGCAGGTGATAAAGTTGCACACTGATACCATAACAGTAAGAATTCAAAACTTGGAAAAATATCACACTTTATGTTTGTATTTAAATAGAAATTCAACTGTTGCTTATCTGTCCTTGGGTTCTTTCTCTTTGGCACTCACCTTTATCCTAGTTTGGGTTAAGCTGGGTCCATCTTTATTCTGTAAGATATGTTCTTGTAGCTTGGAAAATAAGGATGAAGGTTGGCCTGCCGAATAATGGAAGACGGTTCTGCTGGAAATTTAGTGATAAGCTTTAAAAGAATTCCAGCACCATCTTAGGGAAGCTTTTGTATAGCTGGAGTCAAGTTTTAGCATCTGAACACTACTTGACATATTTTGATTTTAAAGATAAATAGTCTCATAACAGCTTGAGAACTTCTTCTAATCAGCCCTCCTTTGGTGTAAGGGTGAGTGGGTGACACTCTCTTAGTCTTTCTACTCCATATATGTTTTTATTACTTTATAAAAAAACAATAAAAAAAATAAAGTAGTTGAAGTGTTTAGATATTACAAAATACTGTTTTTTGAACATGTTCCCAAGACTAGAAGTATAAAAACAATCAAACAAGTCAGCCTGAACTAAATGTTTGCTTGCAAACTGATTACATGAAAAAGGTACATGCAAAAGTCTTTTGGAACCAGGGATGTATTTCATGAGTGCTTCATACCCACATTTGTGTATATAAAAATTGACAAGTCCTTATGTCAAAAAAAATTTGAGTAGTGACGTGTCAAAGTCAGAGATTCAAGGTTGTGGCACCCAGAGCTAGTCCCTTGTCTGGGTAACATAAATCTGACTGACAAATAAAGATAATGCATCCATATGTATTATACCTGCAAATTTCCTGTGCAGTCAATGTAAACTTGAGGCACATCCTTTGCAGGTTCAGCTTTCACAAGGCCCTTTACATTGACACCCTGGCGTTTGAGAAGAGCTGTATAGACAAAAAAGAGTTGAAAGTTTCAAATACAAAGGAATATGAAAGGTGAAATTCCGAATAAAATCATTATCCAAAACAATGAAGTGAAATAAGAGCTAACTGGTGGCACAAGAGCCTGACTGTCAATACTTTTCAAAAACTACATCAGGAAATCCCAATCACTTACCAGCAACCTTGCCTCTTCCATCTTCTGATACAGCAACCTCAGCAGTTGGAGGCCATGAATCAAAATTTGTTTTGAAGGCCACTGTCTCAAATCCCTCAATTACACGAATTATATGAGACTTTGGTCGGTCAAGGCTCCGAAGCAATTCCTGTTCAGAAACGACAAGAGAAATAAGAAGGTATCCATATCAATATAGAAAGAGATAAAATAAGGATCAGAACTTACTTCTGCTGCCCCACTTGCACTTTTTCTCTCATCAAGAGTGGTACTTCTTCCTATCCATACGAAAACCTCAGATCCACAGTCCAGAATATAGCATTTATTTGTATTTAACATATCCCTTGTTAATGAATCAGCTTCTTCTGGTTCTGCCTGTCCCTTCTCAACGCTTAAAAGACAAAAATAAAACACAAGAGCAGAATCAATCGGTTGTTTTAAAGCCAAAATATTTACATAAGAGCCAAAAGTAACAATAACGAATAAACCTTACCGGAAAAGCTTGGCAGGAGTAGGATCAGCACTCTTGGGACCTTCACTAGCTGTTTTCCTTGGTAACGGAGCAAACCCACCAAAAAACCCCCAAAATTCACCGGATTCAGCATCAGCCATCAGTTTCCCATCCTCTGTAAAAGCATTGAAGCACATAAATCTAAAAGCAACCACTAGTTACAACCTTATTTTTTAGATGACTAGATTTTTCCAATACAAGAAAAGTATCATTGGATAGGCATCGTCCAATAAAAACAAGAACTTCAATTATGTCTTACATTAGTAACCGACATTCCAGGAAAAATCCAGGAAGCAAAACTTCAAAGAGAAGGGAAAAAGGAGTTTCTACTCTATCGTCTCTATGCCAGACAAAAGTTTATTAAAAAACTTGATTTCAGAAGACATTATCATTCCTCACTATCCACCACATTACAATATAACCAAGAAGCTGAAAGGCAGAGGACTTTTTACCATCTATGCCTTTTTAAACTCACGAGAAGAACCTGCAAGGCTGCAACTGCTACTCTGCTAGTACTCCAAATATAGAAGGACATATCCCTTCTAAAAGCTGATGCCACTAACGGCACTAAGTAGCAAGCTTGAAATTCTTTAAACACACACACACACACCACTAGAGATTTACTTCATTAGCAAGATACATCACATAAAGGCATCATTGGCTCTTTGAGCCATTAAACCTTCATGGCTTCAACTGTTGCAGGCCTTCAAGTAGCAACTTTAGGCAGAGACAAGGAAAAAGGAAAGACTTAGGAGACTTAGGAGTTAGGGTACTTAGTAGGAATCTGCAGAAAAGACAGAGGAATCTTCCCCCTCACGCTCTTAGGTCCATAAAATCTAATGAAGAACAACAAATTAACAATAAAGAAGGCCTAGGCCCAATAGATTATAAATTTTCCTATTGTCACATTGAGGATACCTCCTACAAAGACATTACAGGGAAGGAATACCACCATTTACCATCAGAAAAGATTGAACGGAAAGACGACAAAAATGAGAATGGAGAAGACCTGCTCCCATGCTCATACTCCAATATACCATCCCCTACATTAACTCCGAAAAAAATAAGAGGCAATCTAAACTTCCTAGGTTTACTTTAGAAAAGCCTAATTTCGTACAAGCTTGTAATAACTTTGTGAAGAGAGGGACTGAATTTCAAAGCAAACTTCCACTAAAGAGATTATTATTGCCACCCATCTTTGCAAAACTAAACCACTCTTTGATTTGCAGCGGAAGTATAATAGTGAGATGTTTTAGACAAAGAGATTGCAACAAATTAGTCACCTGATGTTGTCTTTTTATAGATTTAAGCTCGTAGAGTTCATCCATCTTAGAAGATACACTTACCAATTGCAGCTATATCACATTTTCCATGATGATTGTTGTCTTTAATATACTGAACAACTTCCAATGCTTTAGCTCTCTCTTGAATGGAAGAGTTGGAGCCATTAAATTGAAAGATTTTTGATTCAGTGTCCAAAATGAATATATCATCGTGATTTAAAGAGGATCGGGCGCAAGGAACCTGCAAGCACAATATCATATTATCATGCCATTAGACAAAACAATGATGCAGGTCAAAGGCACATATAAAACAAGTGGCCCATGAATCCATCATCATATCAGTGAAGGTCATTAACTTGCCTCGTTTACATGAACTACATGTTTCCCTCGGCAGACATAAAGGCGTGACTTATATTCTTCAGCTTCATGATGCTTGAAACCAGATGCAACTCCCCCTTCCAGGGGAATGATACATGGTTTAAAATATGAAAGAAACTTCTCAGTTTCATGGCCCTGCACTTCTCTATATTGAACAGCGCGACCTCCCAAAGCGGCATCTAACTCCACAGTTTTTACAGCCGCAGCACCAGCTTCATCCTATTTGATGAAAATCAATGTTTATAACTTTAAATATATAACTCATCCCAAAAAAGTCTCTGTATTAGAAATTTTAGGCAATTAACAAGGTCAAGAATTTCTACTATTCTTATCAACAGTAGTTCCATAAAGTGGGCTAACTAAAATAATGCTCTACAATGCAAACTGAACAAATTGGATAGAGACTTACTTGAGAAGTATCTTTACCAAGCCAATAATGTATATCTTGACGCAATGCACCACTCTTTAATGCTGTTGTCTAATAAAGCAAAAAATAAACAATATTAGGGTCTGTAAACTACAAAAATTCCAGGAAAAGAGATGCAGCCAAAACAAAGTGTCAGAACTGCAACTCCAAGCCACTCAAAACAAAGTAACAGGATTAAAACTTTAGTAAGTACCAGGATGGAGGAGGGAAAATTAAGCACAAGGCAAAGCTACAAACAATATTTACCTTCAATACAATGTAAGAATCTCCCGTGTAAAACTTCCCATAGGATGAGTTTGGGACACGTACAGGACGAAAATTCTCAATGCGCCATATTTCCAATCCTCTACAAGTTGTCAAGGAAATAAAAGTGTTGCACATCATAAAAATATACTCATAACTTTTATATGGCATAAGCATCTTGTCTTTGTTACCCACATCATAGTTACAGATTCTATTTAGTAGACCATATAGACCCCATAATATGATAGTGATTACTAAACATAATGATAAGGCCAAAATGTTCGATTTCATTATGTTTAAATTAGCTTGTGCTGAAATACAAATATACAAGGTCCTGAAAACCAAGATTAGGATGGCACCAGGACTTTGCCAAAAAAGGCTGCTTCTACAAATTTCACTTGGGGGTCATATATGGCTACTATTAGAGCACATATATGGAAGAATTTCACAGGAACCTCTTCAGCTGATCTAAAAAGGATTGTGAAGATTAGCTAATCAAGTTGTTTGCTTAATTTTGAACATAAATTCCCTCTCTTATAATAACTTTCAATCTCATCCAGTAAATAATCAGTTTGAAACAAATTATAATCACTATTCCCTCCGTCCATATATAGATGGCATTTTGCTTCCGTCTTAACTTTGATGATAAATTGCTCTCAAACAACGTTGATAAATTCATATATAGTATGCTGCTAAAATTATACTTCGTATTTAAAACTTTCATAATATTATCTTTTTTATAACTTTCATCATTACACTTTAAGAGGAATATGTAGTTAGAGTTTAATCTCCAACAACAACATATAATGTGTTCAATAATGTAGGGAGTATAAAACATTCTTTTATCCTTGTGGAACTTAATTAAGATGTTGCTTGTTAAAAATTTAGTTCATGTCCGTTGTAAGAACTTTATGAAGCACATCTTTCATTCTAGACTTTAAGGAATACAAAGAGTCCCAATACATTCTTCATACTAACCATAATCACATTATTCACATGATCATTGCAGGTTACATGGCCTTAGCATGTTTTTTGATGTTAAGTACATCTTGATCTCGATTTATAAATATAATAGTTTTATTTCTGCATATGTTTTTTGCAACAGGGGCTGTAAGATAATACTTCAACTAATAAATAATAGGAAAATTTTACATGAACAATCCCAACTATTGCATCTCTTCTCATTTTAATCCCTAATACATATATCAAGATAATCCCAACTTTAGGCATCCCCTTCTCTAAACGTCCAAAATGACTTGCAACCTGTAAAACAAGTAATTTTTTGATTTTTTTTTTTTTTTTTGTTAGTTTACTCTTCTTCTCCCTCCTATTCTCTCTCCTCCCTCCATCATACCTGACCACCCCTAGACCACCAGACCATCCACAAATCTACTATGCCCACCACCCAAATTCTATCTCCTCCTTAAGCCATGGTTCATCACTCAATTTCTCTCCTATGTTTTCCACTTTTCCCTCATTTCATCCACCGTAGTCACGTTTATGACCACCACTCAACTACTCTCCTCATCTGCTGTCCTTCATCGATGCCAACCACAATCAAATTCTCCACCACCATTTTACGAACCACCAATCATGAATTATAGCCAAAACCATGCTCACCACCTACTACCCACTTTCTTCTATCAACAGAACAACCAAAACTACCACTACCATCTTGTATTCCCGTGACCCACCATCCACATAAACACTTTCTTCATTATCATCATCATCGAGTAGACGGCGTGGGAGGCTGCGAAGTGATAAAGATTGAGCTAATCAAGGTCAATATCTTCAATAATTTGGTGAATATATAATGCCCACTAATTTAAAGATTTATGTTAATTTATTCTCTAATCACAGACTAATTATTCTCCTAGTAAATATATATTTGTGTATATTGAATGAAATGGTCATCCCCTTCTATTCAACCAGTTCAAAAAACAATAAGTTCAGTTGAGCAAAAGTAAGTTCGACACAGCAAGAATAAGATGAAAAGAGAATGCTCTAAAATGGTAATATAAGTCATATACGAAGTAGTTGAATATTTGAGTAAGATATTAAAGCAATGCAAAGCAAAAAAAAAAAAAAATAAATAAAGCAGATACTCAAATATATTTATAAAATAAAGGATACGCCTTTTGACCGGCTCCCTGGAATGCTGGATCAAGATCTCTCAGGGAAACAGACATACTGTAGGAATTAATAAATTTTTGAATAGATCAACAGCAGAACTTTTGAATCAAGTAGCAGAAAAAAAAAACCTGGGAAAAAATACAAAGAATGCATCAGAAAAAGTTTAAACTTCTTTGTATTTTGTGTCATATTTCTCCCTAAGAAGGAAGCAGAAAAAGAGACAGAAATGCCAATAGAAATAAAAGCCAAAACTAATGATAGAAATTTTTACAATTAAAACAAATAATTAATATTGTAAACAAATAAAAGCATCAACATTTCTAGCTGCTTAGGAACAAAATCAAAGAAAAAGTATAAACAACAACAAAGATATGCTTCAATAGCTAAGGGACTTGTAAGACCTGTAAATGAATCTCCTTAACTATAGCAAAGTCCACTATAATCAAATTAATGGGAAGCCTTTAATCTTTTTATCACCAAATTCTGAGGGTATACCTCTTGTATCGAATATACATGTTTATTGTATTTAGAAGAGATCTTTATATGCAATGCTTATTAACTATTGAATTTGTGCATGCTCTCATAGCTTGCATCATAAAGATTAGGTGACAGTTGTGTTCCAAATTACCATTAGAATGCTCTCTTCAAGAAGTGAGGAACTATTTTCAATCATGAGATTGAAGTCAACCAGCATATAACCCAATTGGCATTTGACCCTTTGGCAGTTTGGTGGCCTTGGTGCTAACTTCATTCAGTTGAATCAAAGCAGGTGAAGCTACTAATATACGTTAAAATGAGTAAATCCTTATAATGAGAAAGATGAGAAGGATTATATATATATATATTATTGAAAGCGCATATATTTTGAACCAAATGTGCAGCTTTTTCACTCATATATAATATATGTTTCATTTTTTTAAGAAAATTGATAAATACTATCAGCTCGGAAATCAAATTATGCACATTTCAGTTGTAAAAACATGCATATTAAATGAAAAAAACAGCACATCAGTCCTCATCCTCATTTTTAAAATCTTCTTTTTGGATCCCAATATGTGCGTCAGTGTGTGTGTTACAAATCTTCTCCTTGGATCCCAATAAGTGTGGGTGTATGCACAATCAGGATCAACTCAGCACTTCAAAAACCACAATAATAATAGAAACTGTGATCGATAATCCATATATCCTCTCTGTCTGCACCTTCAGGCACCCACTAGTCTACTAGCATATAAAGTTTTTGCTCATTAGCAAGGAAGGCATACTCCCTAGACAGTTTGAGACTAAATTTTGGTTAATAAAATATTTCGTCCTGAACCTAAGTGATACAGCATTGGTTAGAAAAATGAAGTTGGAGCTTTCTTCAGGCAAATAGCCTCTACCGCCATTCCAATTGGTTTAAATATAAAGCTACAAGTATCTTTCATGTAGACATAGGTGTACTAAAACCCCCTCATTAAAACACAGATGGACAAACTATCCAAAGATATTATGATCCGTCAAGGGGCAATACATTTAAAAGTATTGATAACCTATCAAACAGGCACCATCTTCCAGCTGCAAAACCCAATACCAAAATTATTTCCTTCACCAGAAACATTGGACAGATCAACAGTTTAGCCATTCTAAATGATATCAAATCAACGAGCCTGTATGGTTTCTGAAAAAGCAGACCTCTGCTTTTCTAACAGATTCAACTCGACACAATGTTTGTCCATGCTAATTGATACCCTACCTTGCAATATACATTGAACAACAAGCTTGGATGTTTGTGTTCCAGCCATATGCACAGCACAGGTGCCTATAACTCAATGCAGTGCTTCTCATGACTTCAACAAAGTATCAACAGGTCATAAAGGCACGAAAGAGAAACCCAAAACGAGTGTTACTATTATGCAAACACCTCATTACTATAGACCTTGTCTTCTCACAGACTCCTCATTTAAAATGCTTTCTAGTTTCCACGGAAATAGCCCCAGCAGATAGCACAGAACCTTTGATATCAACCCCAATCTATTACTGAACTCTGAAGCATGTACTGCATAGAGTCTGGTAAAAGCCCAAACTATTCCTCTGAAGCTTCAGGATATGGTGAAACTAACATCCTCATCCCCAACCCCCCCCCCCCTCCCCCATCCCGCAGGGCAAAAAGATTGATTCAATAAGCCATGCAATAAACTCTAGTCATTCCAACAAGTTCAAGTACAATTTTGAAGCATTAGGCCAAAGTTGACAGTTAACAGCATATAGCAAGATGAGAAGCAAGGCATGGAAAACAGGAAAATGTGGATAGACTGCCAAATCCCGAGACATTCAGTTACAGTAAAAGGCGGAGGCAGCAAACACCCAATCCAATGGTCTTGGAACTTACTAAGAAAAGGAAATGACGGCATTTGGTTGATACTCATCCAAAAACAAAACCCTTTGGGAATGGCAATCAAATAGACGATTCATGTCATCCAAATCTCAAAGCAAATGTCATTAGCCGGTGCCGTCACGCAGCTTGGCTCTCAATCAGACACAAGGAATGGAAATGGGAACATACATTTTTGTTCGATCTCGAAAATGCCAAAAATTCCACAACCATCTAATCTAAACAGACAACATTTCTTTCAAGACACTGAAATCCACCCCTCTTCCACCTTATTAAAATTCAACAAAACCCAACCAATACCATTGAAATCCACACCCAACAAACCCATCAAATACAAAATGAGCTAAATTACATTCACCCAAAAAACACCCATATCAATCTAACCCATTTCTCTAGATCAACATTACTCAAACAGATCAAAAAACCCAAATTCAACAAGAACCCACCTCAACCCACCCCAGAAAAAAGTAGTCAATAGATTAAAAACAATTAACAATAAAACAATATTAATATTAACACACCCAAGTTCTCAAAATTAACAATAAGCAGAACATATCTATCAAATAAAATCCAAAAATTCTCAAAATTAAAAAATAAAAAAAAAATAGAGCTTGCAGCTAAACAAATTAAAAGAAATAAGTCAATAAAATTACCTTATTACAAGAAGAGGGTAGAAATCCAAAGCTAAAAAATCTGCAACAGTTCAAAAAGATTCAACCTTTGATGATGAAATTGTGAAATGAAGACCCTTGAATGGTTTTGGGAAGAGAGAGAAAGTAAGGAAAGAGAAAGAGAGGAAGAGAGAGAAAGGCGTTTGGAGGGAATTATGAGAGTGCCAGGCGTGCTTATCACTAACGGCCCCTACAATACAGAGATGATCTGTTGCAAAAACAAAAATTATATTTAAAAAATTATGCCAATAATTTTGGGGGTGATTAATCTTGATAAATCATAAATTAATCAGAAAATCAAACATACTTTTGGAAATTAAAATCAATGAAATGTGCCCAGATTTAGAGAGAGAAAGAGAGGTTAAGGATGAAGAAAATTAATTAAGGAAAGTGACATGGAAAAACATCAAATAATGTAAAATTAATAAATGGGTAATTTGCCATTTTGGATTCTTTTACAGCGAATCATTTACAGGTGTGGGAAATTGTTGATTTAGTTTTTTGTTTTTTTTTTTTTTTTGTTCTTATTCAACATCAAGACAAGATAAAAACCAGATTTTTTTTTTTTTTTTTTTTAAAGAGAAGACAAGAAAAATATGACATCGTACTAGGTGTAAAAAAAAAAAAAATTGAACATTTTATGACCATAAACTCGATTTTGTTTGATATTGTCAAACTGATCCTCGGTGATATAGATCAAAGTCGATCGAATACGAATCCGTTAGATTTTAATTAATGATGTAAAATTATAACTTTCCTTAATATACACAATAAATCACTTATATTATTAGCAATAATTTGATATCACTTGTGATTTATTTCTAAAATTAATGTAGATCAAAGGGCCTTAAGCCTAAAGTTTTAAATCCTCGAGATAAACATCACACCTAATATTGATATCACATTGTTGTGCCACTTACCAGTATAGATACATGCTAATTATATATTATTTGTCGAATCAAATTTTTGTTCAATTTGTCTTGGGCATATAATTTTACATGTTAATGTAAGGTTGTGTGCAGATTTAAAATCTAACTAAATCGAAACTGATTTTATCAAAATTGTTCCTATTAGTTAATCAAGATCAAATTAGAATTGTTAATTGTAGTCCAAATTTGAATCAAGTTTTTGGGTTTAAACTTGTACAAAAAAATTGTAATTTTTCTTTTCACAAAAATATTTGTAGCATATCAAATATCCTAATCACATTAATTTTAAAAAAATTTCACTACAAAAATTACAAATACATAAGTTTCTATCATAAACCTTCGTTAAATAATTTATTATCTAAAGGACCTTGGGTTACCAATTGAAACAATATTTTTCCAAGTTTTGAACCAAATAAAATTGGAAAACTGACATTAAAGATTCTCAAGAATTGGATGTCCCATCTAAACCCTCTCTTAGTCCAATTATCATTTCTAATTCCTTTTAGAACTGAATTAAATAAACAAACTCTTATCTACAATAATCGTATCTTAAAAAAATATACATTGTGATAAATAAAAACAAAATTACATGCTAAAAATTATTTTAACTTTATATATATACCACTAATAGATAACATGGTCAAAATAATACGGGTAAATGTTGAAAAATTCGAAATGAAACAATTATAGAGTAATAAAATATAATGTGTCGTGTAAGTATTTTACACGTACACATTCTGTGTTTTAGACATTATAAATCACTTTCATAATTTCATATAATACACAAGAACTTATAATGACTCATAGAAAAACTTTTAAATTTGCTCAAATATGAACTAACCGACCCGGTTTGAGACCCGTTTGACTAGTCAACAAGTATTAAAATCTGATTTCTTTGTTGAGCTCACTTAATCCTGTTTTTGAAGCTAATTAAATTAATCAGTTTATGAAAAACTAAAATATGGAATAATGATATGGGTATTAGAAGAATATTGAGGGCAAAAAAGATGGTAGAAGAATAAAACCTTAAGGCTGGTAATGTTGCTGACTTCCGCTTTGTGAGGAGAGAGAATGAGAGGTGGGCGGTGACCGGCCAATTAGAATCAAAGCCCATGAAAGTGACCCTTCATTTCTTAAAATTAAAAACAACAAAAGCCCAAGAAAAAGTGACTTAGTTGTGGGGTATACTCTTTCATTCTTTTGCCCTTTTTTAACACCCTTTTAGCCTTTGGATTAGGCCCCCCCTAATAACACCTTGTTGTACTAATTTATCTCACTTATTACATTAGGCTAGGATTTACAATTTTTTGTAAGGAAAGTGGTAAATAATTAAGTGAATTGAGTTTTTACTAAGTTATATGCACATGGGTTTATGAGTACTACTTTGTATGGGTTGAAACTAAAGGTAGGACTTCCCTTTATTTTACTAAGTATTTGTCCTCTCCTTAAAAAGGGTTTAGAAAAGCCTCTAATAAAGTAATGAATAGAGCTATGCTCTACAAAGATCAAAGAGAATAAGATGTTTAGACCATGAAAATTGAATTATTTTTTTTTTTTTTTTGAAAAATGATTTTGACACTTTTAGTTACAAGTATTGTGTTCTTACAATAATAAGATCAATTTATAGAATGTCAAATCATCACTCACACGGAGTATAATATATTATCCATATTGGGGTAATTTTAGTTTTAGACAAAAGAGATAAATAAAATATTATTAGAAAGATTCAACCGAGTCCCATGTGTGTTGTAGACCAAATACTCCACAAGAGAGTAAAAAAAAAAACAGTCATCATAGAATTTAAAATAGCGGATGCAATTGAAGTCCACGGAAACAATTTTTTTTTTTTTTAAAAATAAAAAAAGGGATGTTTACTATTATTGATTATCAATGTTAATTGAATGTAGAAAGCATTAGACTTTGATTTATAGAAATTTGGTAATTAGAAAAATACAGCGATGACTAAATCACTAAACAAGATGATTCATCCAGCCTTATTTAATTAAGATTGTATCCAATTAATTTCGTTGAATAAGTTGTTAATCTTGTTGCCCACTTTCCAGTCATCACCATGATGCACGATATTGCCATTTTCCCTTGTCTCGGAGATGAAGTAGGAAGTGAGTCGTTTGAATTTTTTTTATTTTTCTAAGTACAGAAATAAAACGTGCGTTTGTGCAACCCCAAAAAAAAAACAAAAACAAACAAGAGATATTTAAGAGGCAAAACTTTACTCATATATTTACAGAGTTATTATGAGGTTAGCAGCTACTATTCTAGAGGGATAGAGAGACTAATACCATAGAAATTGACCGAAGATTTATGAGTAGTTTGACACTTTTGCATTGAAGGTCAAAAGGGCTCACGATTTCAGATAGCACAAGCAAAAGCTCCTGCTAGGATTTGAAGATGGCTAGCTACCATCTTCCCCCGCTAAGCAATGCACAATTGTTTCAGCATTAAGCAGTAGGAAGACTAGGAACGTGAAAAGCTTATGTAACAGGACAATTGATGATTTCGTAAGCCAACAAATGCACTAACAAACTTAAACAGAACAGCAAAACACGAATTGGAGAAGTTGCTGCATTGCTTGCAAACTTTGTAACAAAAGGCAGAGGCACAGAGTGGATCAGTGGACATATGAAGAATACGGAGTACTACACATCCACTGCCCAGATAACAAATACGAAGTATAGGATTCAAGCCCTCATAATATAATCTGCTAAGAAAAGCATGTCGCTTACCCCAATTGAACTGTTAAGGATCCATATTCTGAAACAGCCAAGAGTGTCAATAGCTTCATCTGAGTTTTTTTTACCAAGCAAAGAGATATTCGTTTTGCAAAGAACAGCATTTTTGAGAGGATCTACTTCCTAAATATAACAGCTTCTATTTCTAAGCTAACCACACTTCTTTGGGTTAGACCGTTAGAAAACAAAGTAAACATGTTGCAAATTACAATGTCTTTGAAAAACAAAAACAAAAAAGTTACAAAGTTGTAAAATTGAAGTAGAATCTGGGGAAAAAAATTTTGAATACAAAACTTATGGTTGATTCACCTGAAACTTAGTATCAGTCTGATCAAAGCCGAGTATTTCACATCACAAAATATGTCGCATAAGTATAGGCAAAGAATTAATTCAATAATCTACCTTTCCATATGATCAAACGGCAATCATAGATTCATGGTATTATAGAAAATCCAAATATATAAGCATACTCTCTGTGCCTCATTCATCATTCTACTATCTGGCTCACAACAAGACAGAAATCCACAAAGCACAATACAGTCACCTCATCGATTTCACACCATATAACACGGGGGGCTTCTAACTTCTGCACCCAAATGTAAGACGGAGCAGCATCTAGGCAGACAATGACTTGACCTTCTTCTTCTTAACACGTTTGACTGAGGGGGATATGCTCTTCACCTTCCTAGATTTCTTCAGCGGACTAGGTTTCCTCTTCTTCTTCTTAGCATCTAGAGATGAATCTCTAATGGGTCCCGGGGACACACCCTTCTTAAGGGCACTGCCTCTAGGTGTGGAAGATGGAGGTATCCTTACATTTTGGGGTGGTAACGGATTATGAGGTTTCCAAACGATATTATTCTTCATAGCAAATCTAACTCTCTTTCCACTCTTCTCCTCTGTGTTCAGCATAACTCCCTTTTCAATATCATCATGGCCACCTGTATCGGCATTAGCCACTGACTTTGATCTCTTACGCTTCTTACCAGGCTTGCCACTGACTTGCACAGGTTTCGGAGAATCAAGTGCACTCAATCCATCACCATCCAATCCAGACTCAGCAGCAATCTTCTCAAACTGCTTTTGGAGATTCGACATCATGTCCTCATTTAGTTCTAGTTCTAGTGCATTCCCTCCATCTTCAGCTTTTGCATTCGAACTCTCACTTATGTTAACCATATCAATATCGCCGTTAGAATCATTCCCACTTGCTCCACCTTGATTCTTCTTCTTTTTCTTCTTTGACTTCTTCTCCTCTAGTTCATTCCCTACATCTTTAACTTCCACACTCGAACTCACACTTATGTTAACCATATCAGTATCGCCGTTAGAATCATTCCCACTTGCTCTACCAGGATTAGCAACCTCATTCTTCTTCTTTTTCTTCTTTGACTTCTTCTCTTTGGAAGCTTCTTTCTTAGGCAATTCAACCTCTACAACCCCATTTACATCACCATTGCTAGAAACTAGAACGGGCACCTCACCATCAACCTCAGGAAGCGAAACTTCGATACCCAAAGCCGCCTTCTCCTTCTCCAACTTCGAAAACTCCTCTTGTAAACCAAATATCACCTTCCTATTCCCCTGAAGACAATCGGGAGCCGAACCTAGCTCGTAAAACCTCGTCCCATATCCCATTGCTAAACCAATTGTTCCAAATAAAATCATCTCACCCTTCTCATCAACCTCGGCATCACCCGACTTCTTCGCCACCAACAAACCCTTCCCATTCTTAATCAAATTACCAAAAACATTACTCTTAACTTTACCCACCAACACCTTATTATCACTCTTACTCAAAACCCCAACAAACGGTCGAAACAACAAGTTCAAAACCTCCAAGTTCAATGGCAAAAATGGCTTAATTTCATCACAAAAAACCGAAACAATATGATAAGTAACCCCATTTCCCAACCCATTATCCCCTTTCCCTTCATCATCAACAAAGAAGAACGCCTTCTTCTCCAAAACCCCAACAAATTCCCCCAAAACAGACAAATCCCAGTTCAATTCCTTCAACAAAACAAACAAATTCCTAACAAAAAAACGAATCAAAAGGTAGAATTTGTCTAACCTGAGATGATCAATGCCGGGCCACTCCTTCCGCATAGTAAGCAGGAAGTGAGAGAAGTAAGAGAGAGAAAGCGGGTAAGGGAGTATAGGGAGAAGAGTAGAAAGACGATTGATGAGTTGGGTTTGATTTTCAATCATGTCGCAATGCCACATACAGTAGAAAAGAGCTTTCCAGAGCTTCTTGAATTCATCGTCGGAAACTAGGGTTTGGGAAGAAAGCCAATTGAGAATGGTTTTTAGGGATTTGGATCGAACAGAAGTGTCGCAGGAGGCTAAACCCTTGATTAGGGAGGTAGATAAGGTGGTTTCTGTGAAGGCTAAGGGTTCTTCGGCCGCCATTGATGACGGAGAAAGGGGGAGAGAGAAAGAGGAGGAGGAAGAAGAAGAAGCCGTAGAAATTGGGGGGTTGAGTTTCTTTAGAGAGGAGGGAAAGATGGAGAGTTCGAGTGAGTTCTTTTTAGGGTGGAAACCCTAACACTATCAGACACGGGCTCGGACGCACGGCCGTGTCACGTGTAAATGTTCGGGACTTAGGGTCGGGCCGGTCAAAAAACCTATATTCAGGCTCTGTTCATTAAAGCTACTCTACTCTCTTGAATTTTGTTCTACTCTGTACTCTACTTTGTTGAAATCTGCTCAAAATAACGCCATATTTTTGTTGAGAGTAAAATTAGGCCATGCTATGATGGGTCAGACGGGTTTGTAGACAAAATAGCTTTAAGCTCATTTGGGTTGAAAAAAATATCAATTTGAAACCCGAATACAGGTCACCGATGTTTAGTCGGAAAAAATTGTCTGGAATTGGGGTTGGGTCGGTTAGTATGAATATGTGTGAGTATATCACTAAAACGGTAGAATCTAGGGATGACAAGTGGGTATAATTCTGTGGAGTTTGCACCGTACAAATCACAATTGGAGTGGGTATGGGTATGACGTAGGTGAATAGTGAGTGAGTATGGATATTAAAATGTCATATCCATCAAGGGCAATGGGTAGGTGGTAGATTTGAGATCATTTCCGCCTAATCTGCCTCGTATCCACTCACTCATCAAATCTCCTCCTTGATTTCACAACTATATGCTCCATATATGTACTTTATATATTTTCTAAAATATATACTCTATAGTTCCAAGTAGGTATATGTGGGTAGTAGCTGGATAATAGATGAGCATGTGCGGGTTATACCCAGCTAGTGGAGATTTAAGTGGTGGAGCAGGTGTGGATTTAGATTTATACACACTTGGGCAGGTTTTGGATGTAGAAAACATACACGTTAAATGTACCCGTTATGGGTATTTTCTTAATTATTCCTTTGATTATTTGAATTTGGTGCCAAAATAAATTTTAATTTTTGGCGCCAAAATATAAGTATCTAATTATTCGAACAATTAACTATTTTCATATTTCTAAATTAATTAATAATCTTAATCAGTCCATATTTTATTAATTTCGAAATTTATGTTGTACGTTGTTTTGAACTTAATTATATTATTTTCCGAATTTTATCTTAATTAATAATACTTAACAACCTTAATTATTATCTTATGATTCACAACTAATCTTGGTTTTGATATCATCTAAAATATTTTATATATTTGCATTTTAAAGATGAACTTGATTTAATCAATTATTTTCTTGATTTAATTAAAAAAAAAGAGAGAGAGAGAGAGAGAGATTCTTGTTTTATAAACTTGCTGGCCAAGTGTTTAGGTATGATGGCATTGTTTTTCTTCACTTTTAAGTAGTTAATTTCTTTTAATTATCTTGATCTCAATCCTTACTCCTCCAACCAAATCAACATTAATCTTATTTTTTCTCTCATCTTTTTCATTTGATTTCCCACATAAATTAACCTAGACCAAATTGCATTCCAATTCATTTAACTAAGCTAAACTTATCTTGTTTTCATACTAATCCCACACTCTCTTGAACTCTATCTTCCTACCCTTAATCACCTATAAATAGACTCTTAGTTCCTCCCATTTACTCACACCAAAAACAAGAAAATTTCCCTCTACACTCTTAAGAACTCACAACCTCTTCTTCCTCTATTTCTTTCTTGTTATCTTGCTTAAACAAACACCGCAAACGCACTGCTCAACCGTTGCCGCCACCAACCCCAACCTCTTTGCCGCATTGCTACTACTCCGTCCTGCCACTTGTTGCGGCTGTAGCTTGCTGCCAACTGGGTGCATAGCACCTCCCTCCTTTACTATCGCAAGAACAAAATAAATATAACTTTCTTTCCTCTTACTCCTTATGATCATCATGATTATTACTACTACGGCACTAATGTTATTATTTTGATACTAATGTTACAATTTAGATACTAAAATTACTATTTTAATACTAACATGAATTATTGTATAAAAATAATTAAAGTTTTGATTTGATAAGGTTAATAGTTTCTGTAGTTCATGCACAAGTAGAGTAGTGTATATAATTTTGGGATTATTTGTTAACCTAATATTAATTAAGGCAAATTTTAAATTGTAGGAGGATGCTCTCGATCGTGATCAAGTGTAGTCGTACCTTTGTTTTCCGTGATCAGGTACGTATAGGTGACTAGGACTTTGATACAAGTTTTGAATGCATGTTTTGGTGAATGTTTAAATTAAAGATTGTTTGAATTACGTATGGAAGATTTGAAATGATGATTTTAATGATGTGTTAAAATATAATTTTATGATCTAAAGGTTTGATTTTTAAAGTGTTGATTAATTTAATAAAAGTTGTTTATAAATCACTTGATTACAAGTTATTGAATTAAAGGAATTAATTTAAAGATTGCAGCTCATTATGGGCCTGAATATTTAATATTTATTGTCCCTCTACTCGGGACTGGTTAAGTAAGACCATGAACTTTGTATGATCTGGTCTTTCCTCGAGTATAATTTGACTTGGTTGGGGGGTGTGCACACTTAGGTGAGAAAAATTAATTGTGGAAATATGTCTAAATTTGAAAAGTCTAATTTTGAAAAGTGATGAATTTTGAGAAGTCATATTTTAGTATGTTTAACTTAAAGTAATTATTTCTAAAGCATGTTTGCCTAATAAAAGTATTTACATGCCCCGCACTTATATGTACTTAGCGATTTTGCTAATCCGTTCTCCTTTTTATTTTGGTTCGCCCTGTTTACCATTATAGGTAAGCAGTTTTGATTTCAGGTGTGGAGTTCATCGTGCGCATACTCGAGTCGGGATTGGGATCACCTAGTTAGGAATTTATTTATTCATGAGCCAGACAAGTTTTTATTTGGAATATTTTTCAAACAATATTTATCTTATGGTTATTATAGTTATTAATAAAAGTCGTTATTTTCCGCTGCCATTTTTTTTTGTTAGTTAAGAAAGCCTTACATTTTCACGTGGCGGTAATACGCACAAGTCTATCTCTACGATATTTTATACATATTATTCTAGTATTTCCGTAGAGGAAGATTTGGGGTTGAAAGGATCACAATGGTAATTGAATGAACACAATAATACTCTAGAAGGGGGGGTTGAATAGAGAATGAGTGTTTTTCGCAAAACTGAAAATGTCAAGGTCTTGAAATTAATTTCTAGGCGGAATAAACTAATTTCAGACTTAAAGTCAAGGCTTTGAAAACAATTGATACAGAGAAGCTGATTGCTAATCAGAATGTTAGATGCGTTTGTTTGAATTTAGCAAATGATCAGTTTAAGCAACACAAAAATAAGTGCAAGAACAGAAAGTAAAGCACACAAGGAAATTGTTACAAAGTTCAGCACAAAGGCCTACGTCTCCGTCTAGGGTTGTCCAACCCGTAGGATTTTAAACCAACTTTTATTTCTTCCCTTAGAGTTCTAAAGCACCCTAGAAGATCTCACTATCTTCTCTCCACATCACCCCAGCTACACCATAGACACTCAATTCCCAAAAATAAAAGCTAACTCACTTTTACTATACTTTGAGTATTATAAATTTACTCTAAGTATATCACTCTTTTGATATATACTTTTTCCACTCTTAGATACACTTTTCTTTTCTCTCAATCTAATCACACAATAAGGTATTAAAGAACTTAGAGAGAAAATATTTAACACTCTTGCTATAGTGTATGAAGCTTGATAATTCTTGAGTGTTCTTGTTCTGAATATTTCGGTTGATTTATTTCCAGCAAGTCTTCACGCTATTTATAAGGCTTTAGGGCTGATTTCAAACGATGTAGAGCTGTTTCAAAACGTTTGAAAAACTTCAACAGAATTCCTGTAAAACAGCTCCTTCAAAATAGCAGCTTTCAAAATTCAAACGTTGGATTCATCTTGTTGTTTTGTTTCAACGTTCATCTTTGAATAAAACATCAGCCTTACCCTGTGCAACAATAAAACTAACAATATCCTTGAAACTAGGTTAGGTAGCACAAGATATAATTATTCAAAAATAATCTGAAAAATTAAATAGTAGTTATAAAGAGATAAATAATATGACTAAGAAATATATTTATCTTTAACAAACTTAATCATAGCATATGGATAAAAATATAAGTGAAGTCAGAAACTTATCTTTATAAAGACTTCTAACAAAATATGAAGAGACAAAATAAACCATCATACATGAGCAAATTACGCTGGACTCCAAATACATGTGGACTCTTTTGACTTCCATCACACAAACATAAATGTAAAGCATATAATCTAATTAGCAGATCAAGGTGGAGTCATCAGGGGTGCTACACATAGGTGGTAGGTATAGAAATTGTAGGTGGTTGTAGATATGGAGGAAGAGGTATCCACATCTACACCGCCCACTTGCCATCCATAGTCACTACTTTGATATGGCTCCAAAGGAATGCTAGTTAGGTAGCTAGATGTCGGAAGTAGCGTTTAAAGGGTTGGTTAAGATGACATTGGGTTGTGATAGACCCGAGTGTCAAAGAGTTGGTTAAGCTCAGGTAGGTGGCGCGCCAATGTGTGTGCTCATCGTGTTGAGTTTTATTATGCTTATGCTCATAGAATTTCGCAAGTGACCTTGAATTCTTAATGATTAAATGGCCTTCTATTAGTTTTTATGGGCCTTCCTACTTCACAAGTTTGATTGGGCTGCTTCAGCTAAACCCCAATATATTTTTGTGTGTTTAACACTTCATTTGTGTACCTCATATGACCTTCACCTTCCAAGCTGATGTTCCTGCCGTATACACAATACATTAGTGGAGTAGTGAGGTGTTGTCGCTGCCCCTTCATCGCCGCCATCATTGACATCGTTGTTCCCACCGAGGGAGGAGATTGAGGTTTTGGTTAGAGTTGCACTGGTGAAATAGACCTTCAAAAGTTTATGTTTCAACATGGACCATTATAGATTACAGGAAATGATGAGAGATTTCTTATGGTTTCATTAAACTCATGGGTTTCATCATTACAACTTCATAAGTAATACAACTATACAAATACGTAGTAGTTTGCATCATTCGAATTTAAAGTGAAGCATTTTCAGCTTTGATTATAAGTAACATGTTACGCCACTAAATAAATTAAGCTTATGATGACCCTCGTTTGTTTTATAAGTAATCTACTATGTTTAAATGCCAATTTCAACCATGATCAGTGCCATGCTTGTATTCTTTCTAAACTAATCATCAAAAGGGAGTGCATCTTCAAAATTCGGCACCCTCTGAACTCCAACTGACATAACACCAATTACAGATATATAACTCACAGAATCATAATGATCAAATACAAGCATAAGTTGGTCGACTGATGGTGAAAAAACAGCCTAAGGCAATTTTTTGGGTATAATTTGGACAATCCTAAACAAATTTCAAAGACGGATGCCATACAAATCTGCAACCTTACTGAAATTGGATACGAAGTATATAAGTTGCTGCTCAAGCACAGGATGAGAGTTCTGGCTCTCAGCTGCTCAACATCTTCTGAAATTCTGACATGAGCGCGGTTGACAGATGATAGAATAACACCTTTCATCAGCAGAGCACAAGGAGATTTTGATACAAATTGTCATCGCTTCCATAATCTAGGCATAGCTCTACACACGAACTCTGGATTTCCATCTTGATAATGCTCGTAAACGTAATCAGAACTTCAAAGGACAAGTAAATTTTTTACTGCATAGTAGGCAATCCTAATTAGTAAAGAATTAAGTTTGGCCACACTTCACTTTTGGAGGCTGGAAAGAATGATTATGTCTCATATATGTAATATTATACTATTTAAGTTTTCAGTATCAAACTATAACACAAACTACGATGTAACAATGTCTACAACTTTATTCGAGTGTTTGGCGCTGCTTGCACTCAGAAACCAAGCCAAGCTGAGGTGAGAAATAGTGTAGGAAACTACATCAATGAATTGTATAGCTTACTAAAGGGGTTTCTTAGTTACTAGTATTAATTTTCTTGCATGTGAGTACATAAGAAACTGACCCCAACATTAAGAATAGAACCTACCAAGAAGATAGAGATAAAAATCATTGATAAATCATAAAGCTTCTAAGAAGATTATAGTAAATATCACTACATGTGTGTTGACATGTATGCTGGACTATTCTATGATCTTGCAGCAAGAGGCATATGGGCCAATATGGCTCCCTATTCCTACTGTGAGAACAGAATTGTCAGAAGTGAATTATTCAAAATCAAGCGATACCTGATATGGAGTATATGAATACAGTAATACGCTGTTAAATTAATCAAGAGAGGACATAAGGATATATAAAAGAAATCATCAAGGATAAGAGGTGAATGGGAAAAAAAATATCTAATATATTTCCTTGTTGCACTCGTACTGTCGTACAGCCGAGATTTCAGATTTGACTATTGTTGGCTATTTGTAAAAGCAACACAGCGATATCAGTATTACATACCTCACGTTTTTCAGACTCCTTATTCTGGATGATTGACAACAGCTTCAAGGTGCTAGAAGACTTTTGATGATTTGAAACGACATGTTTCCATATCAGATTGGCATACTCTGGATGATCTACAAATGGGTTTCGATTGTGTTGGTAAAGCCTGCATACTCTTTCATTTCTCTGCTTTTCCTCTTGGGATGGAGGATCAAACTCATTCCATTTCAACAAAACAGAGAGAAGTCCCATCTTTTTCTTCACTGCAAAGAGTCAACAAGGCAAACTAGTCAAAAGCTTCAGTAACTCCTACGATCATATCATAGAATGCAGACTTAATATAGTTTCAAGTTCATATTCTGAACATCTACTTACAAAAATTCCCAGCAGTTATCTCTATAAGTCATCTAATGAATTATTTCATGGACAATTCAGAAGAAAAAAAAAATGTATAGTAGGAATAGTTGTCCTAGTAGTTTGGTGGGTTACAATTATACGGAAAATAATCAAGTAAACGTTGTATGATCAAGTCTATAATCAAATTTGGAATTCTATTTTCTAAACCATTACGAGCATCATAGTTTAGCTCCAAGGAGCTTGTCTAGCAAAGCCCACTATCCCTACTTCTGAATTCTGATAAAAGTATTGAAATCCAAGTCCTTCAGAGGTACCCACAACAAAATATTAAGTGCAGAATAGTATGTTTCATGTTGAAGGATGTTACACAAGGTAACCAAAACCATAGACCAACAAATAGCATTTCAGTAAGACAGTGAGAAGAGTTTTCCAAGAGTTGTATGTGTCAGTTAAAAGAAGCCTTTGGGGAAGGTATTACTGCCTCCTCAGACAATTTCATTTCTTGCAGAATTCTATCTACAGTAACTTTTTTGCTCAACTTTCAACCTACCCATGCTTGGAGAGTCTGACAGGCGAAGAACAGGACCTTCACCAGGTTGATGAAACCCATAGCGAATAGCCATGTACATCACTGCTCGTGCAACATCTCCTCTAACCTGGAGGCATTGAAGAAAACCAGAAATACATCAACTTACCTACTTCCTCCGTTCTTTTTTTATTGCACCATGAGGCATTTCACGCTTGCCAATGCATTACTTTAACTGTTAATATCTTCTATTATACTTTTGTAAAAATTATAAAAATTTGATATTTGAAAAGAAGATTTCGAGACGAATCTAAGTAGATCTCTCATGACTATATTTTTCCTAATGGATAAATCACAAATGATGGTCAAAGAACATTAAATGAATAGTGTCAAAGTCCAAATGGTGCAATAAAATAAAAACGGAGGAAGTATAATTCTTTATTTTTGCAACACTAACAATTACCCTGTATGAATTGATGACATAACCTTAAGAAAAGTGAAACTAATAGCAGTAAACATGTTCTCAGATATAAAAAAAAAAAAAAAAACTACTATAAAAAGTCTACATTGTTAAAACAACTTGTGATCTTTGCCTTATTTCCCCGTTGTTTGAAATTATTGCTGACACTGTTTACTGTGACTAAAACAGGAGCAACAGCTCCAAAATCCCTATAGAACGTACAGGCACGTACCGTAGAGGGGGTGCCCATATCTTCATATCTGTTTCTGTGTCAGAAGCAGCTTCCTTATTTGCAGGCTTCATACAGTGAGTTAACCCAACTTGGCATTCTCCAAAATACTTATTCCCCCTTGATGAATTCACTGGAAAAATTTAAAACCTCAATCAATTAAATAAGTATTGCCTCACTAGCATAAAAGAATGAGATTAGAACTTCTTACCATTTGCATCTGCTGGACGAATGTTATGCAAATCAGTTAAAGATGGACTACGCATTAGCCCATAAGAATGAGGCCAGAGATGTTCTCCTAAATAAGCACCAGACAGACTAAATGTCAAAAGCAATCAAATAACATGGGAGATTGCATTAAACCACGGTGGGGAAATAAAATGTTAGTGTCATGTGCTTAGGCCAGCGTAATGCAATGGATATACTAGAGAAACATGTGCATCTAAAATATGGGGTAGAAAATGTTACAAATTCAATAATTATACTTCAAGTGCACAGAGCAGCGGCAGATGATATAATTTAACATTTGACAATTTATTAAGCACGATGGGTTACAAAGAAGCAAAAGCTGCACCAAAAGAGCCAGGGGAATCGCTCACTGTTCCAGCCTTCAAGTTTTCCAGCTAAACGCTTTGGCGCAACTCTGGACGAGTAGATTTCAACTCTGTATAGAAAAAGTCAGCAATAACTTCAAAAATTGTACATTTCAACTATATAACATTCAGAAAAATACTGATAAGGAACTTACATCCCAGATGATGCCTCTGGCTTATCAATATCAGCAGCGTCAAGAATCTTAAGAGCATCCCATACCTAATTTAAGGCTGATAATCTTCAGTTCCGCAGATATTCATATAAAAACAAACAGCATAGACACATAACCACCTCTTTATACGACAATGAGTGATGCCCTGCTATGATGGAGTTCAGTTTTCTGCTTAAGGCTTTACCTTTCAGATGGTCGATGCTAGAGTAATAAGTTTTAACATCTTCACAAGCGTACCTAACCAGATATGGTGAATGGTCTTGGGCATTAACTTCCGGGGTAAGGGAAAGCAAGTATATGGTGATAATACAGGAAGCCAATCTCGGCATATTGTCATGGATGCAAGAAAATGTCCACTTCAAAAACACCCTGAAGATAATAATAATTATATTTTTAAATTGATAACATACCATGTTCTCCATCAACGACTAATACAACATCATGAATCCAGTACCATTTTACATTTCAATAAAGCACAATTCAGTTCAGAATTACATTTGGCAAATCACTCTAATAACTTGTTAAACTTTGATTTTTCAACGGCAACCAATGCATACAACATCAAGAGTCCAATCCCATTTTAACATTTCAATAAAGCACAACTCTATAATTACATTAGGCAAATCTTTATAAAGTCTCATAACTTGTTAAGCTTTGAAATCCCCACTTGCACAAAGCTCCTCGCATTCCGGATTAGCGAAAAGCTCTAACCTTGATCAATCAAACCAAATCACATTCCGAATTTCACATGTGTTCAATGTATTTTATCACACTAACTTCTAAGAGCCTGTTCCGATTTATTGAAAACAACTGAACTGAACTGATTGTGGCTGAACTGAACTGAACTGAAACGAATTGTTTATGAGAGAAGGAAATTAGGAACTGAACTGAAGTGATTGGAGCTGAGCTGAGCTAAGCTGAGCTGAAGTGAGCTGAAATTAAGTTGAATAGAACAAGCCCTAACTTAGGTTCAAAGGATCAATTATCATTGCTACCACCTATACCTCAAAAACCTACATGTACAAGATGCTCATTCCATACCCTAAGCTGTCCTTTCGACGAAATCCATACAATATAGTTATCAATTCCATACCCTATAATGGAGGTTCTTTACTGCCCATTAAACAGCTGATTGCACACTTTCTTCATACAACTTTTAGGGCAGAATTAATCTCAATATCAGCCTCTTCTTTTTAGTAATTAAAACTTAAAATTCCAAAAGCTGTTGTCACATATCAACTTACAGGACAAAATCCCTTAAATCCTGAATTTTATGACCCACCATTTAGGCATTTACGCTAAAATTTCTTAAAAATATACTAATAATACTTCTAAAAATAATTGCTTTACGATAAAATTGATAATTAATATACTAATAATACTTCTAAAAATAATTGCTTTATGATAAAATTGATAATTCTATTATAATCTTCAAACATCAATTAGTGGGTAATCGGAAATGTGTTGGATTGATACAATTATATATTCATAGTGTATAAAACTATAATCATTGACAAAAAAGAGAAAGTAAAATAAAATAAAACAATTGATTGCATAAAAAGATTACAGCTAACCTGGGTTTGGGATTGAATTTGAAATTGGTGGAATAAAAACTGAAAATTCTGCAATTTCTAAATTTTATTTGCTGAAAATGGGTTGTTTTGCATCTGGGAAAGGTTAAGAGTGGGGTACTAAGCATTCTTCAATCTTCAGTTATCTATCGTTTTTGTTGCAATTTTTGCAAAAAAGGAAAGGGATAACGGTTGGTTTCATTACTCTACCCGCTAGTTAACAAACTTTAATTTGACATACTCGTAGTTATGAATTCATGATCAAATATATCAAATACGAAGTATACAATAGTCATATGAGACTTTATTAAAATTATAATATTAACTTTTTTACATACCTTTTTTTTTTTTTTTTTTTAATTACGATAAGGGAAGGACCCTGATCGAACCTTAATCCTCACGGTTATTTTAGTCCGATATTAGCAGGTCAGACACTTTGAGAGTAAGGGGGAAAGGTAAGGGATCCCCACCCTCAAAGTACCTCTTGTGGAACTTGAACCCTCAACCTCAAGATTGAAAGGTATAATATTTTCCACTAGACCTAGCTTAGCTTGGTACAAAATGCAACATACTTGTGATAACTATATTTGCTTGAAAAACTTACATGTATTTATTATACTATTATGTTCTAGATTTTAAACTTCTCACAAGTGATATCTTGAATACTTCATTCAAAGTTTAACTTGGCTTTTGCATGATTTTCAGTGTGCATCTTTGACCATTAATATCTTTAATTGTGTATAGGTGAAAATTATATTGGGCTAAAATTCAAAATATTAGATCCGAACTACCAAGATAATCCCATCTTGCCACAAGAAGGTTTCCGTGTTACCTACCCTCCTAACAACAAAATAACGTACACATCAAAATCAAGGGCTAAATTTCCTATATCTATCATCACAGATTCATAGATTAGCCAGAGAGGAGAGGAACAAACCCTGCGTGTTCTTATCAACCTTACGAGCCACATTAATCAAATCTCCTTCAATCCAAATTTTAAATTCTTGTACACCATCGTAATTTTAGTTATGTAATCTTGAAATTTCATTATATTTAATTAAGGATGTACGTGTCTTGTCTGATACTATAATAAACTCGACAAGCTTGAGTTTGGTTCAAGTTAACCCTAGCTAATGCTGATATATCAATGTTAACCTTAGCTTGATCGAGTTCTTCCACTAAACTTATTATCAACCCTACTTACCATACCGAACATTACTCGAGTTCTTTCACTAAATTTACTATCAACCCTACTTACCATACCGAACATTACTTGAGTTCTTTCACTAAATTTACTATCAACCCTACTTACCATACCGAGCATTGCTCGAGTTCCACTACACTTATCATCTAACGAACTCTACTTACTATACCGAATCGATTGTTTAATAATCCGTGTAGGAGAACGTACACCATTAGTCCAGGAAGCCATCAATGATCAGAAACACAAGAGCAAGATGAAGAAAAGGCCCAATGAATAGCTTTTGATGTCGTTGAATCAATAATCATCAAACACATAACAAAATGACAACCACATCCTTGTTCCTCATACAATGGTAAGTTTTCGATCATCACCAACAGACAAATGCATGTTTAATTTTCTTACAGACTATCACTATTTTGATAATGACTTTTTTATGTCACAAACTGGCGGCTTAAGTGCAACGTCGTAGTACATCTTGATCCAATTCACGGAGATCACATTGCATTGTTTCTATTCATTTATTCTATGGTCCCTTAAAATAAAAGTTCGACTCACTTTTTACTTATACTATCCATGATGTTTTAAAGAGTAATTTATTTTTTCTAAATTTTAAATGTACTTATAGCAATTGTAAATTATGGAGCAATCTGTATTACTCTACCTTCACAATATTTACACATTGCTTCTACTCATTCTCTTACATTATCCAAAATTCCATTTCTTTATTTTTTAAAAAAAAAATTCTCTAGCTAATTAGCATCCCTCACTCACTTTTTTCAAATATTCTACTACCTTCATTTCATATTTTTGCAATTTTGGGATACAATTTATGAGATATAAAATATTACAAAGTTGCAAAAATTATGAAACAAAAATAGTAAAAACAAAATTACGGAGTATTATTTTGTAAATGAGTCCAACTTTGAAAACGAATAGTGTACATTCAATTGTATGACATAACTTAACATACTTAAAGGGTGGTAATTGGAAAATAATTTTTACCTTATTCCAATTTCCAACTGCCCATTAGATTACCCTTTTTTGTCTCTATTATCTAGTCCTTGTGTTCTGTAATTTCCTTTTCCCTAACCATTCTTTCCCTTGCACTTTATGTTTGTTTTTACCTTAACTCCAAATTTTGTCAAATTTTTTCCCTAATTTTTTTAATTACTTGCATTACTCAATAAAACAACCAAAACATGTATTGCTGGCCTTGTATTCACTTGTATCCAAAACTAATTGTTCTCATCTCCCTTGTCCTTTCCTTGTTACTTGATTTGTACTCTCTTTTCCTTTTCCACCATTTTTTGTTTCACCAAAGATGAAGATCCCCTTGTCTTCATTAATTCTATTTTATTTTTATTAATTAATATGAGCCTAATTGTTAAGAGGTAGACATTACATATGGGTTGCTTAGATTATGTTCGGTTCGAGACAGCTGAACAAGTTTTCAAACTAGATTTACGTCTATAGTTCTATATCAACCACGTTAATACTAGACCTAGTTAAACTAAATCAACTACCCATCCAACTCACCTCCGAACTCATAATCATCTCAACTTGAATATTAAATGTTGATTTAAGATCAAACACATATCACTCTATTACATTCCAAAACAAACCGAACAGACCCTAACCAATCTCAATTTTTTCTTAACGCACATGTCGTACTCTAAATTCGCCAACTCTAATACAATCAATAGAGTTGGCAAACTTTATAACAAGATTCACAAAAAGACATATCACCCATACACTCTACTTAAAAAGAAAACTCCACACATGACATCCCATGCAAACAAAACCAAACCCCTTCTTTATTTAATTAATTTCACCACTATTATTAAATTTTCCCTCCTTTTCATTCCCATTTAAAACAAATAAAAAAAATAAAAAATAATACCAGTATCATATAAAAAAAAAAGGTGTATATAAATTTGAAATTAGAACATTCCCCAGACAATGAATGGCACTCTAACAACCTTCTCTTCTTCTGCTGCTACTATTTTCCATTAACGACATTCCCTTTTTATACATTGTTGTGCGACAGCGGAAGCAAAGGTCGTAAACAAACAAGAAAACAATAAAGAAATTCAATGCAAACAATAAGAACAACACCAAGAATTTACGTGGTTCACTATCGATGTGATAGCTACGTCCACGGGCACCGAGATCGAATGATTTCACTATAAACTGGCAAAGATTACAAAGATGATTCTTGTATTTCTCAAGAACGGCTCTCACTCTCTCTCTCTTAACCCTTATACTAATATTAGGGAGGTTTTATATTAATCCCTAAAATAAAAGATACTTGGGCAAAAAGATAACATAAAAGATAACTTTAAATCGTAAAATCCGCGTCTCCGCATTTTTCCTTCTCCGCCCGGTCAGACCGGGCAAGGTCTGCCCGATCGGGCGCGAGAAGAAAACTCCATACGAATGCTTCAACGTATCCAACCCCCACCGCCCGGTCAGACCGGGCAATGTCCGCCCGATCGGGCGGACAAAGCTACGAAGTACGAGTCACCTAATACTTATCAACAATCTCCACCTTGACGAGAACTCGTAGTCAGCAAACGACCCCATCAAGACATAGTGGAAAAACATCTCAAGCCAAACCCGATGCAAGACTCATGCATAAGCCATACATCCCGATAAGTCTTCAACCAAGACCCATCACATACTCGTCTCCAAGTATAACAACTCATAATGCTCCACCTGCATCACAAGCCCCGGGCAAGCTCCACCTTAAGGCCAACACACCTACACCAGGAGCTCCCCAACTTCGCCCCTCAGGGCCTACTACATCACGTAGTAATCAATATTTAGCAAGTCTAAGCAATGTTTAAACTTGCTAAACGGAACAGGCTTAGTGAAGAAATCAGCCGGGTTGTCAGCAGTCCCAATCTTCTTCACCTTAATCCTCTTGTCAGTACGCAAGAAATGATACCTGACATCAATGTGCTTCGTCCGATCATGGTGTACTTGATCTTTAGCTAAGCAAATCGCACTTAGACTATCACAATACACTGTAGCAAAATCCTGTGCAATACCCAGTTCACCTACTAGGCCTTTGAGCCAAATAGACTCCTTAGCTGCAGAAGTTAAAGCCATATACTCAGCTTCAGTAGTTGACAACGTAACTGATGACTGCAATGTAGACTTCCAACTAACCACAGAACCACCCAAAGTGAACACATAACCAGTCACAGACCTCCTGGTATCCACATCAGCTGCATAATCAGAATCACTGTACCCAGTGACCAAGCATTCCCTACCATTCCCGTACACAAGACCAATATCAGTTGTCCCTCTCAGGTAGCGAAAAATCCTTTTCACCCCTTGCCAGTGTTCACTCCCAGGTCGAGCCATAAACCTGCTTACAACACTAACAGCATGCGCAATATCCGGCCTAGTACAGACCATAGCATACATCAAACAACCAACCGCGTTTGCATATGGAACTCTAGACATATAAGACAACTCCTCCTCTGATTGAGGTGACATAGACAAAGACAACTTACAACTAACAGTAGTTGGCGTACTTATAGGCTTCGATTTTTCCATCCCAAAACGAGACAAAATCTTTTCAATGTAGCTTTTCTGAGTCAAGAAAAGCTTACCTCTAGCCCGATCCCTGTAGATCTCCATACCCAAAATCTTCCTAGCTGCACCCAAGTCTTTCATGTCAAACTCCGAGTTAAGCATCTCCTTTAATCTAGCAATATCAGATTTATTCTTTGTGGCAACCAACATGTCATCAACATATAACAAAAGATAAATCATGGAACCATTATCCAGCTTACTATGATACACACAGCAATCATATGAATTCCTGTCAAAACCTTGTGAAACCATAAAAGAATCAAACCTTTTGTACCACTGTCGGGGGGATTGCTTAAGTCCATACAATGACTTTAGCAATCTGCAGGCATAGTGTTCCTTTCCAGGAACTTCGAATCCTTCGGGCTGCTTCATCAGAATCTCCTCCTCCAAATCGCCATGAAGGAAAGCCGTTTTAACATCCAACTGCTCCAGCTCAAGATCAAAATGTGCTACAATTGACAATAACACACGGATAGAAGTATGTCGAACCACAGGTGAGAATATCTCAACAAAATCAACCCCTTCTACCTGACTGAACCCCTTAGCAACTAGCCTAGCCTTAAAACGTATTTGCTCAGTTTCCGACAACCCTTCTTTCTTCTTGTAAATCCATTTACAACCCACAAGCTTCCTCCCTTCCGGTACCTTTACCAGTTCCCACACTCTGTTCTTGTAAAGAGACTGCATCTCTTCACCCATTGCGGCAAGCCATTGCGCAGACTCACTACAACTAATTGCTTGTTTATATGTGGCAGGTTCAAATGACTCTACATCATCAGCTACACTCAATGCATAACCTGTCATCGCATCAACACAGCAATTTCTTCCCTCCATCTCTTCAATCAATCTAACAGGCTTCTTGATAACTCGTTTAGGCATCTCAAGAATGGTGTCAGGTTGACTAGATGACCCCTGATTAGATTGCTCCACCTCATCCCCAGAGTTAGAATGAGTAGGAGTAATCTCAGGTTCAGGAGTACCCGGCACTGGAACATCAGCATCATCATCAATATATTGTACCCGAGGTAAATCAGCAATGGTAGACTGATGTACCTCAAGTACCCCATCTGTCTGTAATAAATTGTCTCCTTCCCTTCTCAAATCTGAAATCTCTGCATTTTTAATTGAATACATGGTGTTTTCATCGAAAGTAACATCCCTACTAAGAATGACCCGACCCTCCGAAGGTGAAAAAATTCTAAACCCCTTCACACCATCCCCGTACCCAACAAAACACCCCTTCTTGGCTCGTGGATCCAGCTTACCCTCAATAACATGATAATAAGCAACACAACCAAAAATCTTCAAATTCGAAAAATTAGGCAACTTACCACTCCAGATCTCAAACGGAATTTTGGAATCAATTCCAGAATGAGGACCCCTATTAATGACATAACAAGCTGTTAACACAGCTTCACTCCAGTACCTCCTCCCAAGCCCTGCATTAGAGAGCATGCATCGAACTCTCTCTAGCAGTGTCTGATTAACCCGTTCTGCTACACCGTTCTGCTGTGGTGTCTTCCTGACAGTATGATGCCGACCTATACCCTCATCTGCACAGAACTGATTAAACTCGTCTTTGCAAAACTCTAGCCCATTGTCCGTTCGTAGCTTCTTGATCTTCCTTCCTTGTCGATTTTCCACCAAAGCTTTCCATTGCTTGAAAACTTTGAAGGCCTCATCCTTTGACTTAAGCAACCTAAGCCATGTGTATCGGGACTTGTCATCAACAAATGACACAAAATAGTGGTAACCTCCCATACCTTCAACTCTAGATGGACCCCAGCAATCTGAATGGATGTAATCGAGCACTGCATCAGTAATGTGAGCACCCTTGCTGAACTTTGACCTGTGTTTCTTACCAAACACACAATGCTCACAAAATTCAAGGTTGGCAACCTTGACCCCGGATAGAAGACCCCTCTTGGACAATAGCTGCATCCCCTTCTCCCCCATATGACCAAGCCTCATGTGCCAAATCTTAGTCATCTCCTGGTGAGATACAGATGCGCAAACCGCAGAACTAGGCAGTGTAACACCCTCAAAAACATAGAGGGTGTTCCTTTTGATACCCTTAAGTACCAACTCAGAACCTCTGAAAATACACAACTCCCCATCTGAAAACACACCATTGTACCCCAAGTCATCCAGGGTACCCAATGAAATCAGATTCTTTCCTAAAGCAGGAACATGCCGTACATTAGTCAAAGTTAACCTCCGCCCATCAACAGTCCTCAACCTCATGGAACCAATACCTGTGACCTTACATGGAGCATTGTTACCGACTATAACCATACCCCCATTGCGAGGTTCATATGTATCAAACCAATCTCGACGTGGACACATATGGAACGAACACCCCGAATCTAGAACCCAGTTATCAGATAAATCATCAGACCTAGCAGAACTGACTAATGCTAAATCTTCCTCTGAATTATAGCTCTCATTCGGTTTCTCTTCAACTACAGCAGCCTGGGACTTGTTTTTCCTCACCGGACAATTATTCCTAAAGTGACCCGGTTCTTTACAGTAATAACATGTTTTAGTAGTAGTTTTACTAGATCCATCCTTGCCGTTTCCAGCACCCGACCCAGCATTGTTCCCCTTGTTAAACCCCTTATTCTTTTTAGACTTTCCGGACTTAACAAACAACCCACTACCATTATCCCCATTATCACTCGTAGCTTTCATTCTGAGTTCCCTAGTATGAAGTGCTGCCTTCACTTCTTCTAAGGTTATAGAATCCTTACCAACAACAAAAGACTCTACAAAATTCTCAAAGCTAGACGGTAGAGATACAAGTAAAATCAACGCAGCATCCTCATCATCAATTTTAACATCTAAATTACGTAAATCAAGCAAAATAGAGTTAAGTTTTTCTAGATGTTCCCGTAAGGAAGTACCTGACTGCATCCGGAGGCTAAACAACCGCTGTTTCAGTAATAATTTGTTGGTCAACGACTTAGTCATATACAATGACTCCAGCTTCAGCCACAATCCAGCCGCCGTTTCCTGATCAGCCACCTCCGTGATGATTTGATCATCAAGACTAAGTAATATGGTAGAGTGTGCCTTCTCTTCCATAACTTCTAACTGCGGGTCAGTCGGTCCATCTTCTGACTCCGAAGTAGTACTCTTTGGAGCCAACGGACGCCATATCTGCTGTTGTTTTAACAGAGCCTTCATCTTAATTTGCCATAGCCCGAAACTATTTTTCCCGGTAAACTTCTCAATTCTTATTGTTGAATCTCCTGCCATTGTTATCTTCAAGAAACTCTCCAAGGATTGAACCTGAGCTCTTGATACCAATTGTTGTGCGACAGCGGAAGCAAAGGTCGAAAACAAACAAGAAAACAATAAAGAAATTCAATGCAAACAATAAGAACAACACCAAGAATTTACGTGGTTCACTATCGATGTGATAGCTACGTCCACGGGCACCGAGATCGAATGATTTCACTATAAACTGGCAAAGATTACAAAGATGATTCTTGTATTTCTCAAGAACGGCTCTCACTCTCTCTCTCTTAACCCTTATACTAATATTAGGGAGGTTTTATATTAATCCCTAAAATAAAAGATACTTGGGCAAAAAGATAACATAAAAGATAACTTTAAATCGTAAAATCCGCGTCTCCGCATTTTTCCTTCTCCGCCCGGTCAGACCGGGCAAGGTCTGCCCGATCGGGCGCGAGAAGAAAACTCCATACGAATGCTTCAACGTATCCAACCCCCACCGCCCGGTCAGACCGGGCAATGTCCGCCCGATCGGGCGGACAAAGCTACGAAGTACGAGTCACCTAATACTTATCAACATACATCAACAATCCCTTCACCTCCATAACAAACCACTTTCACACTCTCTCTCCTCAATTTCTTCCACTTTCTCTCTCCTCTCCTTCAATGGCGTTCACACCTCCATAACCACCATGAAAACCCCTCTTCTCACTTTAATATTGCTATTAATACCACCCTTTTTCCCTCTCGTAAACTCCCGTCAAATCTCTCCGTCGCCGGAAAACCCACCTCTATCTCCATCTCCGGCGACGTTCTCCTCGTTTAAACCCAGTATCGCCGTCATCGTGGGCGTACTAACGACTTTATTCTCCATCACTTTCCTCCTCCTCATGTACGCCAAACACTGCAAACAGCGAGTCGACTCGTCGTCGGAACCCGGGTTTTATTACAACAATCGCGGTTTTCCGGTGACCGGAAGGAAGAATTCCGGTATTGACCCAGTGATAATCGAGAGTTTACCGGTTTTCCGGTTCGGTTCATTGCAAGGAGAAAAGGACGGGTTAGAATGCGCCGTTTGTTTAAACCGGTTTGAACCGGAAGAGATTCTCCGGCTATTACCAAAATGTAAGCATGCTTTTCACGTGGAGTGTGTTGACACGTGGCTCGACGCTCATTCCACGTGTCCTCTTTGCCGGTTTCGGGTTGACCCGGAAGATGTCCTCTTAGTGGACCGGGTCAACCCGGTTGAACCGGATGAGTTGGGTTTGCGTTTGCCCGAGTCAACTCATCGGGTTTCGGGTCGTCACTCGTCTGCTGGAGAAAAAGGGGGAGTTAGTGGTGGACCTAAAACGACATCGTCAAGAAGGTCGTTAGACGGGTCAATCACTGCCGTTGATCGGAGAAAAGACGGGATGTTATTAACCGTTGATAAAGACAGAAGAGTAGAACATAAAATAATAATAAATCCAAGTGGGGCCCATTACGAGAGATGGAGTGATGTACAGCCGTACGATCTGTTCTATCTACGGTCAGAGATGTTGATGAATGAGGGCCGTCGATCAAAGCGGGTGTATGGTAATTATCATGGGGTGAGGATGCAAGGGATAATTAATAATGGCAGAAGTGTAATTAATGAGAGAAGTGTGTCGGAAATCACGGGGTTAAGCAGGTTTTCGAGCAGAAATACAGGAAATGGTGGTAATGAGGAGAGAGAAAGAGAGAGACATAATGGGGCGATTGCCAGGTGGATGGCTTGGATTTCTCAATCTAGGCCAGCTGTACGGTCGGGAGCTTAACTTGTGTTCATAAATTTTAGGACCTTGGATAAATTTTATTTTATTTTATTTTATTTTTTTATTTTTCTCAAAATTTTGGAGGTAATAGATTTTTAGTTTGGGTCCCACGTATTAAATTATCTCTTTAACTGGTTTAGGGTGAAAAAAAAAAATATTCTGAGAGGAGAGTGTTAAATTTAGGTGGGAAATATAATTACTGTATTATGGATTTTTTTAAGAGGGAAATTTATTATGGAGTAGTTTGTACTGTAATAGAAAGGAAAGGAAAGGAAAGGAAAAATATTGGATAGAAGAGATTTTGATCAATTGTAATTCTTAAGAGGATATAATGAGACAAATTATTTATTATAAAAATTGGTTCAAGTAAAGTTTTTGAGGGTATAATTTTTAAATTTTTATAATTTGAATTGATTTTACACTTGTGATTTAGGCCCTGTTCACTTCACCTTACAAAAATAATATTTAGTAAAAGTAATTTTAGTTCAGTCAAAATAATTTCAGTTCAGCAAAAATAAGTTCAGTTCAGTAAAAATCAGTAACCTTAAAGAAGAAATATAACATAAAATCAGTAAAAATAATTTAAGTTCAGTAAAAATAATTTAAGTTCAGTAAAAATAATTTCAGTTCAGCAAAAATAAGGTGAAGTGAACTGAGCCTTAGTTGTGAATCTGGGAGAGTTGTAGGTGTTCTAATGAAAATGTTAAAATGAGATGAATGTGAATAATACTTTTAGCAATCACTCTAATTGAAGTTATAGTTCAGGTGATCTCAAACCAAAGTATTAGTAACAAATAATTAATTAAGGAATATAATTTGTATGTGTTGTTATTTGATACTCCGATATTGGTATAAATCTTTTTGCAATTTGTTGTGGAGTATAAATTTAGGTGGTTTACAGAGTATGGTAAAAATAAAAAGAATAAAAAAAAAACTACAAATAATGATGAATGAATCAATATAGCTTATAAAACCTCGACGCCTTCAATAATTTAAACAATCATATGGAAAAAATAAGGTTATCACATATTCGCATGTTATAGGTTTTTTTTTTTTTTTTTTTTTTTTTTTTTTTTTTGGGGTATAAGAATTGATGATTGTACAAATCAATCAAATTATTATTTATAACCATATACCACTAGATTTGATAAGTGAGCTAATTTAAGCCTTCATTATATCTATTTTGTCACTTCGATTATAAGACTACAATTTTCAATGCTTTAGTTACAAAGTGCAAAATCATTTCTCATTTTACACGACACATGACTATAAATAAAATTGAGTTGTACTTAACTTTGAGTTAGAAACTCAAAACCTTACATTGGCATAGACATGACTCGTTGGCCTTTTGCAATATCGTACAAAAGTGTCATTCAAAACCAAACATATCGTTTTGAATGTTAAAGAATCATTGCTTTATTCTTCGTATTTGGCTTTAGAAAATCAAGTCTCCAATTATGATCATCACAATTATAGGACAATACAAAAAAAATTAAATAATATTGAAACATGCAATTCAATTGTAGAAGTAGAGCTAATTACAGGATCAAGATAAATTTATGGGCTTTTTAGGTCAAAGGATCAAGTTGTTATGTCTTTTGGGTCGAAGGAAAAAAACCCAATATGTTTGATTTTTCGGACCATGTGTATCCGCCCAAAAATCGAATTGGTGCAAATGGTGCTAGGTCTAGGGTTTGTTTTTGTTTTGTTAGTACTTTTAATTAAATTAGAAGTCATTGCTAAATTAGTGATGGAGTGCATAATAACTATCATAGAACATGTATAAGTGATAATAAAATATTCACATGTTACTATCTTTTGTAAAGAGAAACAAACAACAATATGTTACTCCCTATTTTACACGGTTGCTAAATACAAATTGTTAGTAATCTCAATATACATCTACTGATAGATATATCGGAGTATATTAAGAGCTCACTATTGGACTATTACTACACACAAAGTAACTTTTTTTTTGGTTGGTAAGGAGAAGACCCTACTAGGTCGGAACCTCTCACAGATCCTCCTGCCTTGGGTTAACGGATTAGGCATTTTGAGAGTAGAGGGGGGGGGGGGGGAGGGAAGGGTAGGGAATCCCCACCCTAAAGTGCCTCTAGTGGGATTTGATCCCACAACCCCATGAGTTATGATATACAAACCTTACCATTAGATTAAGCTATAATTAGTCTACACACAAAGTACTCGGGTACATCATTCTCAACAGTCAACGCAAATCGAACCGGTGGACTAGTAGTCTACTACTCAGACTCAATACTCATAGTCTCATACTAAAAAAATAAGACCCGAATTAACCCGAATCAATTTAACCCAATAATTAAAGATCCGAACCTGAAATGCACCCAACCAGAAGTACTCCAAAAACTAACAAAAGATTTCCCGTTGTTATATTTTCCATCAACTGGAGCAAAGCAGAAAACAAAGTCAAAAATGGCGGAATTATTGAGCTTAGGCATTCTCATTGATATTGTTGATGAAGATTGGATGAGAGATACTCTTCCCGATGAAGGTAACTACCCCTGCTTCTCTTTCGACTATCTTTACTGATTTGTTTCTTCTTCTATCTTTCTAATCTTTCCCCAATTTTTTCTGGGCTGAATTTTGTTTCAGACATTGATTTACCACCAATTGCAGTTGCTCGAACTGAAGAAGCTGATGAACCCAGTTAGTTTCTCTTCTCTCTTCATCTTTTCGCAATTTGTTTGCGTAGTTATGAATTTGATTCATGATGATTTGATTTGATTACATCGTTAAATGTAGTTTGTTTGTACATTTGGGGTTCAAACTTTGAAAATCGTAATTCTGCAAAATTTTCTGGGTAGTTTTGTGTATTTTTATTTTCAAATACTTTTGAATTGTAATTGAATTTAGGGTTTTATTGGGGTTTTTCTTTGATTAGGTATCCGGCATGATTTTCATGTAATTTTTGTATCAATGGGTTTATGAAATATGATGGTTGATTTCTGTGCTCTTTAGTTTTGCTTTTGTAAGAACAATTTGAAATTTTGGACTGTATTGGAAATTTACTAATTTTTGGATTGAAGATTAGGAATTTGTATCTCACTTCTGGTGATACAATTCCTCGGTGGTTGTCTGCCCGTGTTTAATTTGAGAGCTTGGGGAGAATGAGGAACAATGTGGATACAGTACTTCTTTAGCTGTTGTCTTTTTCTAGGAGCATTACATCTATATGCAGGTTAAAATGTACTTCAAATTATCTAATCACTAGTATATCCTTAAGAAAGTTGATTGAAGCTCAACTAGTTATATTCAACTGGTTTGTTGATAGTTAAATGCTTGTTTAGAATGGACAAGATTAGACCACGATACTGGGAGAAAGCAGTTATATGCCTTGACATTTACGGGTAGAGTGCATGAAGGATAGTGCAAGGAAGATATAGCTACTTTGTTGATAGTTGTGTTCAGGGATTAGGGAAATCTATTAAGAGAGTGTCGCAAACTTGGTTGACAAGGATTAATATTGGAGTCTTTGGAGAATAATGGTTTCCCTCTATGTTCTGTGAGGTTGTGATATTGAAAGTTTGACAAGACATGATCAGATTGGCGGAGTTCTAAGGTTTCTACATACTTGAAGAGTGAGTTTAACAAACATGTTAAAGCTAATCATGCTCCTTAATCAAGATTAATGGCATTGATTAGTTTCTGAGTGCAAATATCTGATTTATATATAGAGTTCCACATGTGGCTGTGGCCTTTCCCCAGCAATATAGAGGTGAACCCAGTGCATGTGTTGTAAAATTAATGACAGTTGCATACCTTGATCTTTGTAAAGCCTTGCCAAAGAAAACCATGAATGACTGTTAAATCAGAGAATTTGTCTCCCATACACACTAAACTATCCTTTCACCTTTGGCAACAAGTTACAGAGGAGTGAGTTGCCTGCCAAGTGTCACCTTCTTCTTAGTTGAAGAGAAATATCACCACTAAAGATAAACAACTTGAGTAATGTGCTTCAATATAATGGGTATGGTCATGCTATTTAAACCAAACCAAGGCTTCTGATTTTCCTTTCATCTACTAATTACTAGGATAAAATTTCCATTTGTATCTAATATTTGCAAACCTTAAGTTATAGTTCAACTACATTTTTTAGTTTTTCTGCAATAAATGAACAGAATATCTGTGTCATTTAAAAGTAAATAAAAATCTTAGGCTATGCAAGGAAACATTACATATGGAAAATATTACTTTTAAGTGTCATTTGTCATCAAATAAATCATATTCTCTCTGAAGTTTGTATACTAATGTATTGATATGAGATTAGTTTCTCAGAAATAGGAAATTCCCTTCCCTCTAGTCACAGTGAACAACTGGTTAGTGCTTGGTCTCCATGTCAGATCATGTGTGCATTGCAAAGTATACGAATGACTTTATGGATCAAGTGAGTACTTAATCATCTCATGACCAATTGCAGCATGATGATGCTTGGTATTAGAGCTTAAATAACGTGCTTGTGGAAGGATCTTTGAAGAATATAAGCTTAATCTTATCCATCGTGTTCTGTAGTTCTTTACTAGAATTACCAGCAAGCACACGATATGTAGTACTCCGTAAGAAGATTTCACTTTGACCAAATTAGCTAATAACATTTTTTTTGTATAGATGTAAGCAGTAGGGATTATTACTGCTCTCTGAAGGGAATGACAGTCAGAATATTGATATCCCATGTTATGGTGATAGCAAAGGCTTGTAAATGTTGTTATGGAGTTCTAGGCTGAGTTTTATGCGTTTCTTAACTAAGAGTTCAGTCATTAGTGCTCAAATCTCACCATCACCAGGTCTGAGGAATGTGTTACATATTCCAAACAGAAATACTTATTTAACTTTTGAGGAATACATCGTCACTGGATGATTGGAGAAGAATGTAGCACCAACTCCCTATTTAGCTTAACTTTAAGATACAGAGTATAACTTAGATGTGCCTTCTTTTCTCCTCTTAATATACACTATTATGTCCAACAAGTCAGATTCCAGAAATGAGTTTCTTCTACCTCTATTTGATCATATTTTCTGTAAGAAACTCAAATCCCCCACTCACTAATGCTTTTTATTTATTTTTTGTGCATCGCTTTACAGATGAAGAAACTCCAGCAGCTGATGGAGATACTTGGCATGACCTTGCATTGGGTAGACAGTGATTGCAAATTACAGGCACTTATGACATGAGCATCGAAATCAGGATACCGTTTATTAAGAAGTTCATGCAGCAGGCAGTAGATTGATTATGTTAGTAGTACTGTTGTTTATAACCGTGGGAAGAGTCACAGGGCTCCCGAGTTTGTAAGTTAATCTACTACATACTCTATTGTCGTAAAGATTTCTTCTAACAAAATGTCCATTATCTTGCTTCTAAAAGAGAGGTGGTTAGTCGTTTTCCTTGTCACATTTTTTGGCTTTATTAGTTGTTTTTGCTCTGTACTCTTTATTCTGTTAGTTGATTGCATTACTCAGCTCACTATGATCATGTGCTGTTGAATTGAACCACCATAAAGCTGTATAACTTCAATGATTTAGGTTATTCATGAGGTTGGACCTACAATTCAAAGAATGGGTCTATTGTTCCCTACAAATTTTGGGATTTATTGAGTGTTTGGCTGTTTATAGCTCAAAATGAATCGGCTTAAAAAAAATAATTTGAAATATTGTTTTCCTTTGTTTGGATCCTTGCTAGAAAATTCGATAAAAAAGGAGTATGAAGGAGATTATATGGGGAGGGTAGGAGAATAGATAGATGAGAAGAGGAAAATGATTTTGTTGCTTCACACATCGAATAGAATAATGACGGATTTTTTTTTCTTCTAACATGCTTCCCTATGTATATATCATGAGAATTAATTTTTCTACTTTAGAAACTGATGATGGCTTCTTTTATGAAGTCGTAGTTATTAGTAATTTTTTTTTTTCTTTTTTTTGGTAAGAGAACGAGGAATGTTAAAATCAATACATCGAATAGAGTAAATGGCGGATTCCCCCCCCCCTAATTTGCTCCCTATGTATCATGAGAATTGATTTTTCTACTTCAGAAATTGATGATAGCTTCTTTTATGAAAGCGTAGTTATTATTAATGCAATTCTTTTATAGAGGACGAAGAATGTTGTTGAAATCAATTTGATAAGCGTGGAAATCATAACCCGTACGGTACTCCATGTTTTTTTTTTTGTGGTGTTCTTGCTAGGAGACTAGGAGTTAACACTTTATCAATCACAAATTGAGGACCCATTATAAAAGAAGTGAAAACTGTACAACTTAATTGATTGCTTCTATAGTACAACATGGTAGTGCCAAAATGCAACAGACTCTTACAACCCTCACATTCTCCCTTCAGTATCTCAATGCTTAAGACTAGGAAATCATGACACACCAGCTTTAGGCTGAATAAAAGGGGTGCTTGGACTTTTCGAGAATTTAGCATTCGCCTTCTCTGTGACTTTTATTTTGTGCACGCGCCTTTGCGCGCTAGGACTTCAGTTTATCTTACAGAAAACATTAGTAGGTTCATACTTATCATACACCAGGTTTCTTTATTTATGTATTTTTTTTTTTTTTGACGTATATTACAACAACAAAAAAAATTCGCAACTCCACCCGATATTGTACTCCAATACTCACATAGATTGATTCTAATACATTGTGGAGTATCTTTTTTATGAGTAAGTAGTAATATATCGGGAGGAATTAAGAATTGTTCGATAGGGTTAGAGAAGCTTCCATGCTTTGCCTCCTTTCAAGCTAAATTTCTTGAGTCTTCCAAAAAACATGACAATAATTAGAATCAATTTCCCTTCATCACTAAAACTCCCAGCAAATCCATACGTTTTGTTTACACAATTTGGATCAGCTTTCAATTGCTTACTACAGCTGTACCCTGTTGAGAATCCAACATTTCCATATGCACTGCCAATTATTGAAATAAAGAAACTTCATTTTTTACCTAGAATTTTATTTATCATAAGATAGTCTAAATGGTTTCAAAAAAATAAGATAGTCTAATTTGAAGTAATCAGAATTATCGAGAACAGATGTCAACTAGCATAGTAGTGTATAATTAGGTCAAAATAATCTCTAGAAAGTTATATCGGATTTAAAGGCTAACCAATTTTTAAGTGCTAATTTGAGAATATTTTCCTCTTGGATTTTACAAAGATTACAATAGTAGCATGTAGTATGAGGCCTTGTGAGGGCGCATGATGACCATGTAAAATCTTACAAAAATCAATTTTTGGGAGCATTAATTATTATCATCGCTATCCAGAATTAATAGTCACGCATATTATTTTTGTCTAATAAAAATATTTGTTAATTGTTCTAAAATAAAATCATTCGCAAATTTTCCAAAATAACGGAGTACTATAAAATGAATTGGAGAGTGTGAGAGTACGGGATGAAGCAATAATTCTAAGGGATTGAGACGATGTGTAGTTTTTATTTATTTTGGAGCAAAATTCCGTTACCTTCCTAAGATTGCTATACTTCGTGATAGAAGATGTTAAATTTGTGTTATATAGTCGAAATGATACGTTTTAATAAAAACGTACCTAATAACTTCAAATGTGATGTTAAAAACGTTGAAATTGAGGGGATCATCAATCATCTTTTGTTTCTCGGTAATACAAATGATGATGATGAATATGGCAAGGTAGCTGAGTTGAGAGAAAATGATGTTCTTCAAAATCTTTCTGTTCTTCTTTTCTTCTTTACATAGTATTTGCACAAAATTTCCTTCCTCATCTTTTATTGGCAGAAATGAAGTATAAGGGGGAAGATACCTGCATGGTATGTACATGCAAATGTTAATAAAAAAAACATAATACTAATAATAATCGATTCTAATTTATGGGTGAAAATGCGCATTAAATATTGTCGTCACTAATAAAAATAAACATAATCACCACAGTTTATACAAAGTCATTCGAAATAAAACTAGGTAGTACTGCACCAAGATATACACCGAAAAGATACAACTAGTTGTATAAGAATTTTTGCGATATGATAAAAAAATTGAGTATTATTATGTAGGACAATCATAATTTATTATCTTAATTGGAATGTTGGAAGAAATTTTAATTTTTGGTATACAATTAACTCAAAGAATAGGAATATCCGAATATGACTAGGGTAGATGTCCGCCATGATTTGTGATGAAATGTTGATCCTATGTTTAGGCTTTAAATAAGTCAGTCACAATTAAAATAATCAGCTGAAAGATTAGGAGGGGATCATGGATCATGTTCATGTCAGTTATTACTCCAAATTAGTTTTTAAAACAATTATCTAAGAAGCAATGCTATCTCGGTCATTTTCAGGGTTTAGAGTGAAAAAAAATGGGAATCCCTGAACATTTGAGACAAAATGAAAAAATTTATGAAAATTACATATTAATAAAATACACATTATTACAAATCTAACAAGATCCCACTTGATATATTTTTTCTTTATAGATTAATGTACACGTAAGGTTAAAGTTTAGTCAAATCAGATAATTAGATCAGATTAAATCAGACCACATCAAATCAAATTAGATAAGCAAAAATAAAATGAACTAAATAAGCCCTAATCTTCGCACAAGCTATACATGTCAGACTCTTAGAAGGAGGGTAGAGGGAGAATAAGGAATCGTCTACTCCCTAAGAACCACAACTAGCAGGGATCGAACCCATAATCTTAAGATTTTAAAGTAAAATCTTTATCGACTACATACACGGATACACCAAGTGCTTGATGGTTGTTTGTCTTAACTGGGATTAGACACTAATTGGCTTATAATCGGAGATTATTATATGATTTGGTTGACCATTACTTTTTAGAATAAAGAAGTGAAGACGTAACTTAGGCAGATAACATACGGTACAATGAGTCAACGACTATGTTTAGAGTACGATCGTTTATTACCTAGGACGAAGACAATCATTATTCACTAGAGAAAAAATTTGTGCTTAAATGATGTTTTATATTAAACATTGTTACATCATCTTATTAAATTAATCTTCCAAATCATGTCCCATCCGACTGATCCGAGATTGCTTCGTATGTATTATTGGATAATTTATCCCTTAATTAATCTATTGCACTTTCCTTCGTTAAAAAAAAAAAAAAAAAATAACAAAAATAAAGTCTTTCATTATAAAATATAAGGTAATATATATGTAAGCCTTTAGAAATACAAATAAGCATTTGATATGAAGTATCTTTTATATTTTGGTATAAATTTAAGAATGCATGGAAAAATCATACATTTTTAAAAGTATATACAACTAGTTTTTAGGCTCGGACGATGCCCCGAGTTACTGCATTATTCCGTGATTGAAATTCTTATTTATATTTAATTTTGGTAGAATGACATGTAATATGGTGATAGCTTAGTGGCTAACACTTTAGCTTACGGTTGTGGATTCAAAACTTGTACAATTCATATTTTTAAGCACGTGAAATGAAAACTTGATTAATTGAGGAGGGCGCCACGTGACATGTAGGCTTGTTTAGAAACGCCCTTTAATATATACTACCCACATGACATCTAGCACAATAAATATTCAATATCTTCGAAGGCCACTAAATATGTAACCTACCTCTTATTACTAGTTTTAATGTTGACTAAAAGTAATTTATTACTTAGTTTTCTATATTCCTTGACAAGGGACAAACAACTAGCCTTATGTCATGTTTTGGAATGAATTTTTGAAGTCCAATAATTATGGATGTAATGGGAGAAGTACATGCAATGGCTTGAACAGAGTAACTATATTACTACTTTGTTTAAGGTGCTACTCACTTAATAAGCTTTTTACCTCATATCCTTTAGATTTGGGGTTCGAATCTTGCCAACTGACAATATTGTTTGAGGTGAGAATTCCTTTAGTTTCTCCCTACTCTCAATGTTCCAACAAGTATTTGACCAATAAATAATGAACCAAAAAAACTAAGAATGTTGATCAAGATATGGTTATTCAAATAATACTCCTAGTGTATATATAGACTTAACGGGTTAGAGTGAGAAAAAGAGAAAGTTTGTTGCTAAGAAAGAAATTAAATAAAGAAAAATAATGTTTTTTTTAAAAAAAGAATACAACTAAACGAATGAACAATACAAAAGTAAAAAGGAACGAACAGATGTTCCTAGTTCCTAAATATTCAACTCACTTACGATAAACTCTTGAGATAAAATCTTCCTAATCATAGATAGTATTATACCATATCAATATCAACCCTAAGCTAAACAATAAACTAAACAAAATCCCACACAAAACCATTCACCTTAACGTACAACAATAATATACGTGCACATGCATCATAGAAAACAACATGTTGTCAATAATATACTTGGTATTGAATACTACGAACAATAATCAATAAAAAAAATATAAAGAATGTATAATAGGGAGGAAGAACACTAACATCATAACGACGAACAATACCAATATTGGTGGGGCAATTTTGGATAGATCAACAATGCTTTCACCGGTATGCCTTGAATTTATACACACGAATAATATTCCCACTAATTTTTGGTAAACATTAAGGCCATTTAATCCGTCAAAATTCCATTCCATAGCGCAAAATAATGTAAATTGCACGCATATAAACCCCAAAACTGTCACAACTAAAAGTTTACAGTGCCTGCTAGGAAGCAAGTGATGGAATCCGATATCTTTTGAATTTCTCATTAGATACCTGGCCTCGTCTTTTTTACCAATCTTGCTTAAAACCCATATCAGAAATCGAAGAAAAGATGGGAATAGTGTGTTTCCAAGGAGAATTTGAGGGATTAAGATCAATAAAAAGACCCGAATTTTGGCTAAAAACTTGCATGTTTTCGTTTGTAGGAATGAATCCACAACTCGCATAAGTTGAGACTATAGTAAAAATTGCAAAGGTGAATTTTTAAGGTCTTTTTTCTCAAGAACATTTTTGGCACTTGAAATAACATTAACGTAAATATATACCATAGAAATTCCTAGGACATGAACTAAGAGTAAATACGCCAAAACTATGAAACCTAGAACCCTAACTGACTTGGATTTTATGAGAAACTCTATTTCTGATTTTGTTTTCTCCATAGTTGAAGTTTCTTGAGATAATGATGGTTGTACAACGATTCCTAACTCAGAACTTTCGGGTGGGAGTGGAAGGCTAGCCACTGAATTGACTCTACTTCTTACATGAGAGGGTGTATATTTGAGCTTGGAGGCTGAAAAATGGAGACCGACCATGGAGGTAAATACTTCACCTCCTATGAACATTAAAATCGTAATAACAATTAGTTGTGAATTCGTAAATACCTCCATTTTCATGGTAGACATACTAGAAACTGTTATAGCTGACACTGAGGTGAAAAACAAATCTAGATTGTCTATCGTGTTATAGTTGGTTGTTTTGGAGGTAAGACTTTTTAAAATCAAGAACCCAAAACTTGATGCAATAATGAAGTAACTTACCTCAATCAAGAAATGGGTAACATGAGAAATAATAAAATCATAGATTCTCGAGGTTATCCAATATATGGATGTAACTAGATAGACAAAACCTAGATATAGAAAACTAAGAAAATGCTTATATTTTTCCACTAGAAAGGTAAATCTCAACATCTTTTAGATATTGATCTAGTAAGAGGATTTTGGTTTTGGAAGAAAATGTATGGTGGTTTTGGAAATCTTGGACATTTGCTGGCCTTTTTATAAAGGACAATTTCATAGGTACGAATATCTCATTATACAAGCATTATACCATTATTGTTATTATTTTTCTCGATCATGATGTATGAAGTCCTATCCTAGATTTGTATATAAATATTATATACTTTATCCGGTCTCCTAATATTTCAACATGTTGAGTTTTACACTTTCCAACACACAACTTTAACCATTAATAATTTCGGGATGCATAAATTATAAGAAATTGATATACATTAGACAATTAATAAGCCTTTTTTTTTCATTAAGTAACAAATTAAACTTAGCTTGCTTAGTGGAGATAGTGGATAACTCACTTTGTGACTCGGAGGACTCAACTTTGAGCTTCACATCTACATTTGCTTAGGAGTAGGGAGATTCCCTTAATTTCCACTTTACTCTCAATTGTTGACCAGTGTTACTAAATTTGTTTTCTCTTCAACCGACCAGACAAAAACCTTATTTATCAAAATAAAGAAAATTAAAAATTACCAGGATATTGACTCTTATAAGAACAACGTAACAATAATTAATCCTTTTTTTTACACAAATTAATTTAGTATTCCAAAAATGAAAATTATAAAATAGTCCCGAATTGGCTCTATGGGCAATGAGGTAATTTCGTAGATAATTTATTAAGTGGCTCCATAATGACAAGAGATCTCTGAATAAGCAACAAATATAGTTAAGATTATTATTTATGAGCATGGCGTAGAGGCAGTAGAGTATAGACTTGCACAACAATATCCAAGTTTCAATCAAAGAACTTTCGTAGGAAAATGGGCAGTTACTTTCACCCAAAAGAAAAAGGGAAATGGGCGGATATTTGGATATGAAAAAAAAAAAAGTTATTTACCCATTGCATAGATTATCCATTGATAATAAAATTATACGAAATATATGATACTTTCCTACCTTTTAAAAATTTGAGAAATTTTTTATAAATAGTGTTTGAACAATTATATTACTACCTTTTAAAAAATTGAAATATATCTTATTAATAGTGTTTGGACAATTATATCATGTGAAATGTTTATTAACTTATTTACCCTCATTAATGTTTAAAAATAGTGTGTGAACATTTATATCCCTTGATAATTATTTAATTATTGTTTTTAATCATATGTAATTAAAAATATTATTATTTAAATACGTGGTTTGAATTTTGTATATCCCTTGGTATAAAATGGAGGTTCTCAACAATTTCTCTCCTTGATGTTTTTTTTTTTTAGGCAACTCAATTTTACACTTCTCATATGGTTAAGATAATCCAGGTTACCATCTACGTAGGTCAATGCCTGAGAATAGAGGGAAGAAGTAAGTGAATCCCCCTACACCCAGTCAAATGTAATTGGTGGAGCTCAAATTTGGGTTCTCTAACAATTTGATAAGATTATATGGATTGAAATTCAAATTGAACATCTAGTTTTCATCATTTTATCAATAATTCCCTATTCCATCTCTTCTAGTATTTTATGGTTGATGATTATTATATTGCCCAAATGATAACCTAAAGATTTTTATATGTATATATGTTGCCTAATTTTTAGTGAATTAGCCAATGTTTTTTTTTTTCTATTTAATTTGTTAATTATTAGCCTAATTAAACAACCAAAAGGACAGAAAAAAATGTAAAAGATAAAAAGCGGCTAAATTAGTTCAAGGCAGGGCATATGCACATTCACATACCGTGTTCAATTCGTGTATGGAGGTGGATAGGAACATGGGATTTGAAGTCAAGCAATTATTAATTAATTTATTGTTCAATTATTTTCATTTTTATTGAATTTAGTATGGGATAATTTAACGTGGATAGGTTGATATATTTTGTCAAATATAATTTGTGGATTGATTGAGCAATCATAAATTTGATTTTAAGGCTAAGTTGAAGATTCTCCGGACATGCAAGTACAATTTTATTTTTTAGGTGGATTAGCATTTAGGGAAAAAATAAAAAAATAAAAAATAAAAAGAAAAGAGGGGTAGGGGTATTTTCGTAATAGTTATGTTAGTGTTTGAAAAATTATGACCGTATTTAGCGATTCACGTATTTTAGTGCTGGGTTGTTTTTTTTTTATATAAGAATGAGTCTCTATTAGTTTGTTTGTGGCTCTTTTGTTTGTAGGTTAATTATGATGTACTCCGTATCCGACTCACAAATTGAGGAATGTTTTTTTATTTATTTATTTAGTTATTTAGTTATTTTTTATTTTATTTATTTATTTATTTATTTATTTTATTTAATAATGGAAGAAGAAGAGATTGATGAAGTATTTGTCAAATTAATTGCCGAATATTGGTGATTTAGCCAATGAACTATTAGTTGTACGTGGTTGTTGTAGGTTACAATGTATTTGTTTGACAAATTAAGAAGAAATAATCATACTCAAACAATCAATTTCCCGTTAGAATTGTGATAAAGGAATTATGCAAAATAAATAAATAAATAAATAAATAAATAAATTATGTATTTATTTTTCTTAAAAATAAAAAACAGATCGATTTTGAGAACAAGCATCCAAACAAATGTTCACAAGATGTAGAAATATATAGATCTGGTAGCAAATCTTTCTAGACGTTCATAAATGAAATGAATATTTCTTTTCAAGGTATAATTAATATTGAAATAAATTTAATATACTTGTTCGGTTATTCCTTCCCAAATTAATTGTCCAATGGTTTATTGACAAGGGAAAATGACATTGAGGGAAAAAAAAAGTGATGATATATAAGCAGTCATACACATTAGTGTGCAAATTTTCTTACCTATTCTCTAATCCCACAGGATTTCACCTACTATGACAGAATTGACCCGTGACAATCATCCTTCTCCTCACACCTTACAAAAATAAAATACTACGTAAATCAAAACAACCCTCCCTAAGGCCTAACCTCCAGCCAAACATCTGTTCTCTTCACCTTATTTTTATTGAACCGAAATTATTTTTACTGAACTTAAAATATTATTGAATTTAAATTATGTTCACTAAACTGAAATTAATTTTACTGAACCGAAATTATTTTTGCTGAAGTGAAATTATTTTTAATGATTCTTTGTTATTTTTCTTATATAAAGCTATTGATTTTTACTGAATTAGAATTATTTTTACTTAACTGAAATTAATTTTGCTGATCTGAAATTATTTAACATAAAAATGTGCTACTTTCTCTGTTTCTTTTTATTTGCTACATTTCTATTGTTGTCAATTTTTTGTTAAATGATTACACTATTATCATAAACTATAAAACCATATCATGTGAGATATTGTTAAACTCGTATTAAAATGAATTTTCAAAATATCTTTTTTAATTTAATTTCAAATTAAACAAATTTGTGGTCATGTATTAGATATCATAAAAGTCAGAATATAACCAATAAAAAGAAATAGAGAGTATTTTATTAATCAGGGTACTGTAAGGTTTTTCCCAAGGAAAGGGAAGAAGATTGTGATTTGTTTTTTTTTACAAAAATGACATCATTCAGCTACATATGAATAGCATTTGGTCAAATAAACGATAGATATTATGTTATAAAAAGATATATTTTGTGAATATTGTGTAAATATGTTTTAAGATTTCCTAACATGATTAGGACTCATCTTTGTAACCCTATGTTGGCTATATATATGAATCAATGGAATAAACTCCAATTTGAGGAGTTTTACAAAATCTAATATGGTATCAGAGCTTAGGTTTTAGATCCAACCCTAGCTTCCGCCGATATGAAAAGAATGAAGCAAATTGACTCAACAAGACTGTAAAGAATGAAGTAGGATGATCAAGTTAAGGGGCAGCAATTACACGAGCACCATCCGCCGATTCACAAATCAATACTGCAGCTTCTTGGTCGATCTTACTGACTAATTCCGGTTGAAGCTTGTTGTACTCCCTTTTCACAAACGAAGCAGCTTCTGATGCGAGATCTGCATTGACTAAAGCAATGCAGCATCCTCGGAAACCAGCACCACTGAACCTGGCTCCATATACACCAGGAGCTCTCAGGAGGACTTCATAAAGGTCTATCAGAGGTTTGCACCCTGAGATTATGGGAGAATCATGACAAGAGTGAGTCAGATTTTACTTCAATGCATTATGACGGAATAAATTCAACAAATCATGATACGAGCAATCAAAATCTTAAGAAAGTTATATTTGGATTATAAACTAAAACACAGCAATTGATATGGGTAGGATAACAGCTTAGAAATTATCATCAATGACCTTGAAAGAGAGGGGAAATAATGATATGATGCATACCACATTCATAATTCTGTATTGAACTTCGACCAGAGGCGGTAATTAATTTTCCAAAATCATCCATCCTACCTGAAGCCCATGCTTCAATTCCTGAATCAAATCATGGTAAACACAGGCTAAATAAATTCTAATGCATGGAACAAAACTGGAAAGGAATGAAGCAGCTGTTGTAACATAAAGCAAGTTGAGATTGGAGGATTACCTTTCCTCACACGCATATTCTCTGAGAAATAATGCTCTGCTCTACGAGCAAGAAGAGGTTCTAGCTTGTCCTATAATCAATAAGAAAAAGATGATATAATAACATAAAATATTTTCTGTAATTCATGAAAGATTTGAAATTCTTTGTGGTAATCCAGAATGTCAAACACCTTAACTCAGTAAATGTTGCAGTGATATGAAAAGTTAGTAGGGAAAATAGATGACGAAGAAGGTTTTCATTTGCAGAGAGCATTGGTAATAAAAAGAAATAACAACTTGCAAGGGTTTACAGTTTACACTTCACAATTCCTATGGATATTTGTAAATGGAGCCTTGTTGAAGAAACTGCAAGCAGAGAGCCGAGTCAACAGCAGAACTTAGCAAGCTGTGACAGAGATTTTAGTGGAAAAATATGCTACCATTTCCTCAATCCAACTCACCAAAGGCATAGCTATCTTCCTTAATAGCTTCGCGCTGTTCCCACATCCTACTCTTCAGAGGATATTTATGCCAGTTATGCTATCCAATTTAGAAGCTGTCAATTAACTGTTACAAAGGTACTTCATTGTTCCCAAGAAATTTAGTTTCTTTAGGATACTCAAATCAGGCCATCATGATATTTCAGAATTTCCCTCTTATATGAAACCGTCCCTAGGGTACCAAATACATTGCCAATTATAAGTAAAGCAGAAACCAAAGAGAGATTGATCAGCCTATATGGCAAGGCCAAATGGAGGAAATATTTGCTTACTAATGGAGAAATACGACAACTATGAAAACATAAAATGACAACAATCGTGGCCACCATTTCCATCACTCAGTATTTTCAAAAGAAATGCTAAGCAGATATTACCTGTAGGCTGTATTAATAAAGTTCTTTTTTAATTAAAACTGGTCTTTTATGCCTTGTGCAAAGTACATGATATTTTACCGGGACTAGATAAACAGTATCATAGTAGATTGGTAGATAAGACTGACTACCTTGTGAGCTTCATAAACTTCCCGTTCAACTGTTCGAGCAAGAGAAACCAAGCATTAGAATTACTGATAAGGTCAAGAACAAAGGTAGTAGAATACTTTAAATCAGCAATATGAGCAGATCCTGACCATTGGATAGAACAGCCTCTACTTCATGCTTCCCAGCAGCACTGCAATGGTCAAACAAGTGAGGGTTACTAATGTATTTATGTATATACAGGCATAACTGACAGTAAGCTTTGTATGACAAAGTAAGCATCCAGTGACATTATAAACTCATCCACTCTCTTATTTTAATATTAACCTGTAAGTTTTTTTGTCCATCTAATGAAATATATGGGTCGATTAATTAACAAAATCTTCTCCAATAACTAACTAAAAAGCACAAAAAGACACTCTTATTAGAAGTACTCAAATAATAATGAAAAGGTGGTGACATGTAAAACAGTGAAGGGAAACAAAGAAGAATGACATCATAAAAGAATAAATCCTCACTCTAGGAGAATTCTTGCTGCCTCTTGACATTCAGCAACTCGGCGATTATACCCAACGCCACTAGTCAAAGCATGCTTCAAGCCAGAACATGCCAACAATATCTTGTATGATTTCTGCACTCCATCTATGTCATTCTCTTTCAAGTTTATGAGCTTGTATTCTTTGGTCTGTACAAATGAGTATTGAACCCAGGTAACAGTTTAGGAGAAAGATTGATGCATCGATAACAATCCAAAGAAGGATAAGAATCTTTCAGACTTCGGTGACAAAAGGAGGGCATGATAGTCTAGTTGCAACAATTTATCCAAAATCACCGTTTTCTTTCTTCTCCAGGTAAAAGTTATGTTCTAATCATGGGCTACAGCTCTATTTTTTTTTTTTTTGGGCATCTTCTTTATAGAATACAGCACAAATCTCTGTTCTTTTGGAGTTTTTCCAACACATCACCCGTTATCAATCATGTCACACACTTGTATTTCTATTGAAATTCCCTTGAATGAGTATTGCAGACCTCTACAAATTTCATACATGGAAAAACTGCACAAGGTACAACAGTGTTTCTTTGGCAACTTGACTAACAACATAATTGAGTGTGTGAATTTGAAAGGGAAAAAAAAAGGTATTTATATATTACTGCAGACCAAGTATACAGCAGAATATGACAATTACATGTAAATTATTTTAAAATTGGTGGCTATATGCTAAACTCACACCAGAGAAAAGAGCAAAGTTGTCAAAAAGGGAAAACCAGGGATTAAGCTTGTGCTCAAACTCAGCGTTTCAAGATCTTACAAAGCCTAAATGGATGCTCAAACCTATGACATGGGTATAGTAGTAAAGAACATCTCATTTTGGAACTTTTTCATATGATGGATGAGTCATTCGACATTTACTGACACAAGAATCAAAGTCTGAGTAACATAGGCTCCAAGCATGCAAATGAACTGCAGCTTATATGTTCTAACATTAGAGAGCAAGCAAATGATGAGAGTACTGAATAATATGAAAGTACCTTGCAGTCCATAAAGGTTAGACAACCCTGTCTTGAAAGTAAAATTGCAGATTGATCCAATATGCCATTGTTCAAGCCAAGATATTCATTTTCAATCAGCCTACAAGTGAAGAAATTTGATGTTCAAAGTTTGACATTAGGACAAAATGCATAACAATCCACGATATTTTTGTCAATGACTACACGGAATAATCACACACACACACACACACATCCTCCTATATAAGGTGCCAGAAAGATAACACCTCTCCCATAATGACTTAGGCTCTGTTTGGTTCATCTGATTTTGTCTGAAAGTATTTTATATGTATGAACCTATTTTATTTTATCTGAACTTATTTTATTTTGTCTGAACTTATTTTCTTTGCATTTTCAAAACTTATTTTGTCTGACTTACATTAACTGAACTTATTTTAAATGAAATTATCTGAACTAAGATAAAATATGTTAAAATAAGATGAAATAAACAAACCCTTAAGAAAGCGAATGATACAACACAAATTTGATAGATAGACCCTTGACTGCATATAGAGATTCTCTAGCTTGAGATGACCAATTTGACAATTAAATTGAGAGAAATAAGTAATAGAATCATATTTGTGACTATATCTGGTAAAAAGTTATTTTCTCATAACTTTTAATACTATAATCGAATTTGCAACTTATACAAAAAAACTACTCCGTATTAGTCATTGTCAACATCGACACTTTGAGACAATAAAAATCAATAATCTTGATCCTAATTACAGTAGCATTTTTAGTATGTGAGCTTACCGATCATACTCAATGTTTTCTGTTGGAGATACTGATATATTATTTGCATTTTCCAGAGCCAACAAGTAAGCAACACCAACCTGAATTCAGCAAGTTGTAATCAATCAATGTAGTAAACAGCCCAAAAGCTCATCTCATTCAAAAAAATTAAATCATTAAAACAAGTATCACTAATCAGTGACTGCTGTGCAGATCAAAGAAATGACATTTTACAGCTACTAGATAAGTGTCTGCATATACATGTCTGAGTATGCGTGAGTCAAAAGAATCCTTCAACAATGTCATTAAAACAACATTTTATCAATTTCCTTCCCACAAGATAATTTTTAGGGAACACTAACTGATGCCAATAACTCCTACAATAACCAAAAAGATCCTTGCTCAAAAGGTCTTAATTTTTCGAGTTTTTTATTATCTGTCTACAGCCAAATATCATCAGCCAAACAATTTTTTTCACAATTGTCAAAACAACAAGTTAACTGATATTATACCCATGGACATGGGAGAGAATTAACTGAAATGTCAAGGAATAACATAGACATTATGAGTTACTATGATTGAATCAGATATTTGCACAAGTTTCCGAACAATAGGTTGAATAAATTAATCCTCCTACATCTCTAGGGATACTACCAGCAACAGGAATTGATTACAGAGTAAAAATACCATAATCAACCATTTTGTCAATTAGTTTAGCACATAGAACTCAGTAAGCTTCAAACTTACCGCAGCAGAAGAGCTGAGGCCAGAGCTGTCAAGGCCCGAAGAACCGCTGATCAACCCAATAATACCCTGAAACATACACAAACAACCTGCACTAGTCAGTAAGAATTAGTTTCTTGAAAGTATTGTTGATTGACATATATGGATATATGTTGAAGCCTTAAGACATGGATGTGTATGTACATGACCAAAGTGGGAAGAAATGTATATAAAATAGTTTGATTGTGTAATACCCCAAAAGTCACATGGAACAAAAAGGTGCAAAAAATGGAATTCAGAATTCAGACACATAATAGTTAAGGTGAATCAATGGAGAACATAGCCTCTCCTTCCTATCTCTTGATAGTATAGCGTATAGATATTCATAGTCTACATAGTACCAGGAGTTGATGCTCCAACTCCAGATGGAAAAGAGTCAAATATATTGGTAAACAGAACTTGTTGGATTTATCACTTTCTTGCATATAGTAAAAAAGTTATTGTCATAAAATGCATGGTTTTGCCTTGGGCTGGTTTCTTTTATAAACATCCTTATAAAGTGCATATCCTTTGGAAATCCCGGATCCTCATTTTACACCTCATGACGGGAAGCACCTCAAGACCCAAACCAAGAAAGAAGACTTATTATGAGAGAGAAAGTAAATTACAGGAAATGGCTTAATGAAGATAGCTGCATACAGAACATGTCAACACGTCCAAAAAATGGCTATAAAATTAGAGCAAACACTTGCTAAAGTTAGCTGCTGGCTGCTTTTTTAGATCAACTTTAGAGAGATGGTCAAAATTTAAGATGATTATGGACATCAAGTGGTCTGAAAGACCAATTCACTTAAAGGTATGAAGTCAGCAATCAAGAAAGAACACCCTCAGGCCAGAGTTTAAAAAGCATGAGGCACATTGAGACCATCAGACATTCTAAAGCCAAGGTCCAGGGCAAGAGGCAAAGGGACACACCTTGGTGCAACAAAGCACTTTTAAAAAATAGATATAGAGACTTACAGTCACTTATTACGAAATAAGTTATATTTTTCATAGTAACGCATCATGTTACCAGATTATTTCTTAAAAAGTACTCCGTAAAAAAGAAAGCTGGTACTTGTGAATTGCATTATTATTAAGCATTATGAAGACACTAATTTCAATAGGCACATCTCTCATGCCAGGCATTCTTAGGCAATCATCTTCTGAACCTTGAGCCTCAGTGCCTTAAGGCCCCTCAGGTGCCATATTTCATACACTGCTCGGACCAGCATTGGTTGATAATTCCAGAAAAGGGAAATGTGACCTTTGTCTGGAACAAAGCTATGAAAATGAACTTTTAAGTTTGGTCTGAAGTTCAAGCATGAGGTGTAACTGAATTATAATCCACATACTCACAAAGTACATCATATGCCACGCCTCTAGCCCCCCCCCCCCCCCGGTCCAATATATTTGAGTGGTTTTGAACGGTCTATGCATAACTCAAAAATCTTTACCATGAAGAAAGGTAAGTATATATCCAAAGCTAATCAATCAGAAGCAAATCTTTGCCATTATACCAAGCATAGTGGAATGCAGAAAATGAAAATAGTCACCATGAACACATTAACATATTCTCCAAGTATATATCTATATTAACTCATAGTGAAAAACGGTTAATGAATAATGTTATGAACAAGGGCAAAGCCAGGAACGAAGGTTAAAAGAAATTAATATAACTAAATGAGTCGAAAAAACTTACATTAATAAGGGACAAAAAAAAGGAAATCTTAACTTCAAAACAAAAATAAGACAATGAAAATCTAAAAGGAGCACATGATAATTCAAATCAAAGACCTAAAACACATGAGACCTAAGCTTCATGCGGAGCGTTAGAGAAGCATCTCTAACCTGACTGAGAACATTCCCTTTACTATTTAATGCATAAACAGCCCCTTTTGCGTATCTTCCCCAACAACACTCTTCTTCCAATTTAGTTGAACCAATGGAATTGATACTTTCATTTGCCTTTGCAGCCTTTTTAGGATGGTGACTTTCATCAACTCTGCAAGAAAATTAGATCTTGGTGAATACTCAAGATTACAAGACAAGTTATGGGAATTAATGGGAAGCAAAGAAAGAAGATAGGGTTTCCAAGAATTAATATTATATGATAGAAGCAAGGGGAAATGGAAAATGAATTAATGGGAAGCAAAGAAAGAAGATAAGGTTTCCAAGAATTAATATTATATGATAGAAGCTAGGGGAAATAGAAATAACCATGCAGATGAACAAATACATGGGAATGGCATATGAATGCTTTCTGGGGTTCTTACCTGAACTTTACCTCTCCTCCAAACTGTGCAGAACGCAACACCATCTGCATGAAATGTATCCTCATCGATGAGACAGAGAGCAACATTGCTTATGTCTATACTACTAGATATCACATGTAGTATTGAAGACTAGCCCACAAACCAACACGAGTCTTCTTAACATCTTCATTCATGCACACCCGGGGAAAATTCACTGGAGGTCACCCATCTAATAACTATATAAGATTTTAGTTTATGGGAAAGATGCAGCTTCTTGCTATAAGCCTATAACTAATACCATTAACTTCTAAGCATTCTTTAACAAATAACAATCACATGGGTGTTATAAAGAGAGCAGAGAAATACAGAATTACAGGAAAAACAAGCAAAATTCTCATGCAACAGCAGAACCTAGAGTATAAAATAAACCACAAGGCCAAAGGTTGACAGGTACTTAATGTCTTCGAGGTCCAAAGTCTAATACACAATAGAATGAAGTAAGCAACAGAAGTCAAGGGTGAGAATAATTCTGGTAATTATAGGGCACACTAAAGGCACGCCAGATCCAGCGCATTTTTACTATGAATCCTCAAAAGTACAACATTTTAGCCTCCCCATATAACACACTAAAGGAGAAAAGTGCAAGGTGAACAAAAATAATTCTAAGCCTCTGCTTAACGTTGCAAAAACTCAAACACTCTAGGACTAGTACCATTAATGATGCTGCCATGATAGGGCATTTACCATTCTCCCTCAGACTTACACTGGAGTAGTGGGGGACCATAGATACATAAATCCTTTTTAGATTCCAACTGTTTCTGGATTCCACCAAAAGTTCCACTATTCTGAGCCCTTCCAATCACTCGTGACACTAAATTGCAAACTACCCAACTGCATTTCTTCAGCTCTTTTCTCTATCCTATTAGCACGTTTTACAAGCTCTTTTCTAATCAGATCAATTAAGATCTCTCGAATCTACTCTTCCTCTCCCCTCTGCCCACCGCCCCCACCCCCCCCCCCTCCCCAACCCAGTCAAACACAACAGAAGCTTAAATTTGTGAAAATGCAAGACACTCCAAATTCCCTCACTCAAAATTAAAGAAACGAGCAATATACCTCAAGGTTACCAGAAGGAACAAATGCAAGAACAACTCCCTTGTTTATTGTCATAGCCGAAACAGCTCCACCCTAATAACAATAGATCAGCAAAAATTCATTACATCAAAATAGCAGCAACCACTAACTAATAGTCAGTCATATCAAAGCAGCAAGAAACTACTTCAAATCATTTTGGGACTAAGGCTTTGTTGTTGTTGTATCAAAGCAACAAGAAATTAGTAATTAGATCAATGAGTTCTTCCAACATCATACACTCAAATATAGTAATATACAATAGTGTACTCTGATTAGTAAGAAGCATGTTAGCCATCATTACTAACAAAACGAAACCGAATTCATTACCTGATGATCAATGTGTGCTCCCAAAGGACAAATCCTGTATGGAGAGACAACCACCCTGACCTCCTCAGTAGTTCTTTTAGCCATCTCAGCTACTTCCTTCTTTAACTCATTCAACTACAGTAAAAACTTTTACGCTTCATTTACAGATTTACAATAATAGTATACACAATAAGAATTATAAATTATAAAAAAATATATATTTATATATTATATAATCATTTTCTTCAACTTATTCATCATTTTCTTCAGCTACATTGAACATTGAATGACATGACATGAAATGAAAATAAATGTAAAAACAAAAACCCAATTCCCAAAATGTTAATCTCAGTAATTGCATTATGAAAATTCTAAACAAACACTTACCACCCACTTGAAATCAGATCGTTATAGCTTGGAAAATGAGCAGACATAATTATCAAATTACTGGTTAATAAATGAAATTGTATGTTAAATTAGCAAGAAAAAAAACAATCCAGTTCTAACATTAATGGTAAGACATAATTTTGGAAATAATAAAACATGGGATTCTTACCTCTGCTTCGGAAGGCCATGAATATCCAACCATTTTCAGAATGCAAAAAGAATAAAATTATAATTGAAAAGAACGAAAAACCCAAAAAATTGTAATAATTTCAAACCAATTTCAATTCAGGAGGGTGTATATCAGTTTGGTGAAGCTAGGAAATCAGTTCAGAGGTCAATTTTTCAGTAATCTGTGATCCAACTACTAATTTTGGAGAGCCGTTTTTTTTTTTTAATTTTTTTTTTTTGGAGGGGAGTAATTAAATGGATTATCGAAAAGATTTTTTGTTTTCAGTTTATTGCTCCCTTAATCTTAATCCTAGTGTTATTATGAATAATAAAAATTTGATACGGAGTATTGTACATTTTATCAAGAAAAAAAAAATTAAAAGCAAATGTCCAAATGAATCTAATAAGAACATGTTTAATCACCAACAAAGTGTTGGCTCACTTGAAAAGGTTTTTACCTCATATCACAGAGGTTTGAGGTTCGAATCCTACCAAGTGAGGGTACTTGAGGCTAGAGATTCCCTTACCCTCCCTCCTTTCGCTATCATAATACCATGATATGTTTGTTCACAAAGCAGTGTGTTCAACAACTGCTGAAATATCGGTCATGCAACATCTCATTAAAATTTGAGATAATCGACGAAATCGACTCGTGCTCACCCTTGTAGGTGACTTTGCCCGATTAGATAGGGACAAAGCACAAATTAGTCAATTTTTGCCTTGTATTGTCACTTTTGACCATCTTGCTTTGCACTACACTAAGTATAGTCATTATATTAATCTTTCTCAATTCCTAGTATAATATAAACCACTATTATGAACCCATAAGCACGTTTATTAATCTATACATGTTTCAACAATCCTCCTATATTTATGTGTAATGCTTATGTCTTGTTTATAATATACAAACTCATGCATCATTGTAATATCGTTTTGAAAATGTACTATATCAATAAAATGTTTTAAGCTATTTTTAGTTCACCTTATTTTATCTTTTTTCTAATCTGATCTAGTTGATTGATTAACTAAACTTTTACCTTAAATGTATGCTAATATACAAAGAGAAAAATGTATCAATGAGGTCTTATTATATTTGTATTAATGTGTATTCTCCAAATATAAAATTTTAATAATTTTTTTCATCACAAAATTAAAGATATTAGTGATAAAAATTCGCAAATATAACAATAATGTAGGATCAGAATATAGTTTTCTAATCTGATTTGATATAAGTCCTTAGATAATGAATTAAGGTGAACTAAACATAGCCCGACTTAAGAGTTTTTATACTAACAGTTGTAAACCCCATTTTAAAGTACAGTACAAATTCTAGGCCAAAATCCTAGAGGTGATCAACATTGGCCCGACCCATTAGTCCGGCCCGAAAATAGGGTGGGTTTGGACAAGCCTAAAAACGTTTTTTTAGTTAAGAATCCGAACCCGGCCCGAAAAAACCCAAAAATCCCGCTTTGACCCAATAAACCCACTACTTTTTTACGAATTTGGACACAAGGTATCATGCTAAGATCCAGCCCGACCCGATTTTTTATCACCACTACAAAATCCGAATTGAATAAAAAGAAAAACTCCAGGACATAAAAATGCAACTCATGTCTTATTCTTCTTTATATCTTCATTTATTCCTCACTTTTCCTCCTTTATTATTGCCCCCCTAATTTTTTAATAATTTATTTTCTTTTCTTTAATTTTCACTTTTCCAGCTTTTGACCGTTGCTTTCCTTTTTCCTATCACAACGTCTCTCTCTTTCTCTCTCTACTCACACTTTCTCTCTCCTCTCTGTTTTGTGTTCACTTCACACTCTTCACCATTGCAGGTACTTCTTCTCTCTACTTAATTACACTTCATTTATCTGCTTTTTTTTTTCATAATTATAAATTAGTGTGAATCAATATTACAATTTGGGTGAATTTTATTTTTTTGTGAATTTGCTACATCAATTTTTAGCTTCTCTCGATCATAATTATTACAATATCTGAACTAGGTTTCTGCTGATTAATGTAATTCACATTTTTCTTGTGTTTAATTTATTTATTTTTAATTACTTTTTCTGTAATCTGAACTGGGTTTTCTCTGCACTTCAAACCCTGTACTGTATTTTTACTGTTTGTCAATTCTAGAAATCTGAATTGGGTTTTCTCTAATTATCTCATTTTATATAATTAATCTAATTTTCTTGAATTTTTCCAGTTAATTGTATCAATTGAGCTTGAATTTAATTTTCGTTTATCACAATTTTTTTTCAGTGGTTTATTTATTTGAGTAATTGAGCTTTTTTTTTTTTTCCCTTTTGTCCAGAATATATTCTGTACACATTGTCACATTCTAAGCATTTAGCAATTATCTGCCTCAAAAAGAGAATAAATAAAGCAAAAAAAAAAAAAAAAAAAAAAAAAAAGTGAAATTGTGATTTATGATACTTTCGAGTTTGAGTCTTTTGATAAATTCATGGTGAGAATGAATATACAGTTTTAGTTTTTCTAAATGACTTAAGAAGAAAGAAAAGCATCCAAAAATTTATGATTAATTTATACTATCTTTGTTAATTTTTCGGTTTTTGGAGCTTTGATTATGGAATTGCTTCTTAATAAGGTGTAATTCTGTTATTCTAAGCTTTTACTTTACTTGCTCATTCAACAGCCTAGAGAGCCTTATGAATTGGGGTAAAGGCATACAAGAATTGTGTTATTCTGGTACCAATTTGGAATCCAGGATCATTAGTCTCGTCGAAAAGAATAGTCGAAAAGGGAGGGATGGGATGTAATACATCGAAATTGGATGATGAAGAGGCTGTTCAAATATGTAAAGATAGGAAGAAGTTCATCAAGCAAGCTCTTGAGCATAGAACTAAGTTTGCCTCGGGTCATGTTGCATATATTCAGTCCTTAAAACGAGTTTCTAGTGCTCTTCGTGAGTATATAGAAGGCGATAAGCCTCGTGAGTTCTTGTTAGATTCGTTTATTACACCTCCAGGGAAGAAATTGACCCCAAAGTTCATCACCATTTCTCCAAAGTGTTTCTCAGCACCAACTATTCAAGCTGGGGAGAACTCAAATGTGAGGATCAACTACTATAGACCAAGTGGGACTGCATCAGTTTCGGTTGAGGAGAGACCTCAGTCTCCTGATACTTATCGCGTTCAATCCTATTCGCCAATGCACCAATATGGTGGGTTTGATGGTTTCTTTACAATGCAGTCTCCACAAAGGAATTCTTCTTACTATCCTCAATCAAACTCGCCGTATAATAGACCTGAGATACCTCCCTCCCCTCAAAATAATTCTCAGTGGGATTTCTTTTGGAACCCCTTTTCATCATTGGATTACTATGGTTATCCTGTGAGGAGTAGCCTTGAGCAATCGATAGTTGATGATGATATAGCAGGATTAAGGCAGGTTCGGGAAGAAGAAGGGATACCAGACTTAGAAGAGGTAACCGAACATGAGGATATCAATGAAGGAAGACATAGACGAGAAGAAATTCCTAAAGGACCGGCACATGTTGTAAGGGAGGAAGTAACTGTTGAAGATGTAGATGAGGATGAAGAAGAAGATGATGATGACCATGACGAAACAGAAAATGAAGATGAAAATCAACATGAAGCAAATGGATTACAGGAACAAACTAATGACAGCATAGAACAGTCACAGGTTCCGAATGCTGGACATGTCGAATTCAATCGTCATGAAACAAGGGCTACCGAAAGAGAAAAGAAGGAAGAAGAGGCACCAGGATTCACTGTTTATGTAAACAAAAGGCCAACAAGCATGGATGAAGTTATCAAAGATCTAGAGTCTCAGTTTGTGATTGTTTGTGGTGCGGCAAATGAAGTTTCTGCAATGTTAGAAGCTAATCGCGCTCATTGCCTACCAGCATCAAGTGAAGTAACAGGTACATGGTACAACTTTTATATTTTCTCCATCCTCACATATGTATTCTGAGTATAAGACTACATTAGATTAATTTATCACGCATTTGATGTTATTAACCAAATTCTATGTTATTAATCAAATTTGTATCTGAAAGTTTGACATAGATTGATTACAACTTCAAATTACTCTTTCATTTGTGTTAGAAGTGTGAAATATGTGATCCTTTGTTGTTGATTTCTTATCAACTGTGGTTTCGAACATAGATGAATTGTTGCAAGTTTGACTGCATGTAGTAGTGTTTACTCGTCGTTTATATAGCTTTTAGGTGAAAGCCAAATGCTATGTGAAATAGGATTGTATTCATCTAAAATGCTATGGTGTTTGTTTGCAGCTATAAAAATGTTGAATCCAGCAGCATTGTTCCGATCAGCCTCATCACGCTCCTCATCATCAAGATGTTTGGTCAACTTTTCAGAAGGTTCAAGAGATGAAGGATCTGAAAGCAGCAGTAATGTATCAGATGAATCATCCATGTTTTCTGGCAGCCATCATTCAACACTAGACAGATTATATGCATGGGAGAAGAGATTGTACGAGGAAGTCAGGGTATGCTTTCACTGTTTCACATGACTTTATACTATCATATGATGGCTTTCACTGTTTCACATGACTTTATACTATCATATGTCATTAACGATATATGTAACTCTTGCTATTCTTTCTGACAGTCTGGAGAACGAGTTCGATTGGCATACGAGAAGAAGTGTACACAATTGAAGAATCAAGCAGCGAAAGGAGATGAGCCTTCAACGCTGGAAAAAACTAGGATAGCTCTTCGAGATTTGCATACCCAAATAAAGGTTTCAATACACTCAATTGAAGCTATTTCAAAGAGGATTGAAACTCTACGGGATGAAGAATTGCAGCCTCAGCTTTTAGAATTGGTACAGGGGTATGTTACATCACTTAATTTTCATATTTTCTTTTGGGATTCTAAACCAAATATTTTGTCTGTCCGAACATATGTTTTGATTTAAAACTGAACAAGAAAAAAACATTATTGTTTACGGTGGCGTTCATATTGTACATGAACATTGAACAACCGAGTTGTGACCTTTTGAATTATAGAATACTGATAGTTTTTACTAATATTGTTTGGTTGGTGCTCAAGAATTATCCTGCACCTCTAAACTAGTCACAACAGACTATGCTTTTGACCATTTTAAGGGCTTGTTTTAATTTAAAAGTGATGCATTGCAGGTTAGCAAGAATGTGGAAAGTAATGGCAGAGTGTCACCAAATGCAAAAGCATACTTTGGATGAAGCCAAACTTCTGTTAGCCGGTACACCTTCAAAGCTTAACAGATCAAGACGACATAATCCTTCACTCTCTGCTATAGACCCTCAACGACTATCTCGTTGTGCCCACAATCTAGAGTCTGAGTTAAGGAACTGGAGAGCATGTTTTGCATCATGGATCTCTTCTCAGCGATCCTACATACATGCATTGTGTAGCTGGCTCTTAAGATGCATGAGGCGTGAGCCCAACACATCAGATTTACCTTTCTCCCCTCATCGCTCTGCTGGGGTACATCCAATCTTTGGAATATGCATCCAGTGGACAAGACTTCTCGATGCAATCGGTGAGACTGCAGTGCTTGATGGGCTGGATTTCTTTGCTGCAGGAATGGGATCAATCTATTCTCAAAGCCAAAGCCAGGCTCAAGCCCAAGCCCACAATAGTGGTGGGTCTCGGAGATTTGAGGACTCCGGTGGAAGCATGGAAGTGGTGGAAGTAGGGAAAGCCGAAGAAGTTATGACACCGGAGAAAATGGCAGAAGTTGCAGTAAGAGTCTTGTGTGCCGGAATGTCAGTTGCTATGAGCTCATTGGCAGAATTTGCTGTTAGTTCAGCTGAGGGATACGCTGAACTGGTAAAACAATGGGAAAATGTTAAGTGGCCACCTAATTCCAATTCTGAAGGAATGTAAACTCTTTTTTTTCTTCATTTCTTCTTTGTTTAGGTAGGTTTTCAATATAAATTGGATGTCAATGTAATTACTAAATTATTACAGCTTGGTCATGTAAAGATCAAAGCCGGGCTTCTATTGTATTACTAGTTAGTTAGGTTAAGATCATTAGGAAGAATGGCGAAATGTGGTAGCTCTCTTGCTGTCTGTTTTACTGTTGTGTCACAAGAGAGGCTCAAAGGACACTCCCAAAAATGGTGTTTGGATTTGGGAAAATTTTGGCATGATTAATATTTATTGTAGAAATTCTTTTCTAAAAGATGAAACTTAAAAACTTCTTATAATTACAATCTGGTAAAATATTCTTGAGGGGCTCCCTGGTATAAAAGGGTTATACATGACAAAGTTTAGCCATGATTAGTTCCGGAATTGAAAATATGTAAGCACTGAATTTTTTTTTTTAAAACAAAAAAAAAAAAAATTATGAAATGAACCTACAAGTATTGATTAAATTTTTATTCTATTTAAGTTATCAATAAGCCATACAAGTATATACTCGACCTGAATTGAACTATAAAATTATGTGTCACCCGATAAAGACCCCAATCCAAATCTATTCAACACCTTTAAAAAGGACTGTTGATAAAGTAGCTAACATCCAACATAAATCATTATGTAAGCTTCCCAGACAGCCAGACCTCACATGTTAGTTATGTTGGTAAATCAGATTTATTGAACCTTTGTAGTACTGATAGATACAGGAAGTTCTTAGACTATTTCACACAACTTTCCAAACACCTCTTTATCTTTCAGCTCATATCTGTAGTTGTATTTTACTGCTAAGTTAATACGAAGTATGAAATACTCGTACGATGCATAAACAGTAAACCACATTATGCAGCCAATCTGAAATGTAAATGTAAATTATTTTTATTTTTAGTTTGAGGGAAAGTTGTAGTTCATTCTATCAATTTATCAAATTTGATTCCTACCAAAAAAGGAAAAAAAATAAAAAATCAAAAATCAAAATTGATAACACAGGTCTGCTTAAACTCAGTGTACATATTTGTTCTGGACATGATTAGCCGAGTAGCCTACTTGTAACAAATGATTCAACTCTTTTCTTCCAAAAAAAAAAACATTATGGGAACAAATTCCTTCAACTGTGAACCAAAACTCCTGTCTTTTCCATGCAGAGATGGCTGACAAGGGTTGGGGGGTTATTACGTCGACATCTTACAAAAATGATGGCAAAGAACTGGTCGGATGGATTGTGAGTAACTGAGCCTCATAATCTACTCTGAGCTTAATTGAGATAATTTACACCTTCATCTCCGTCATATTCCACTTCACCAACATCAGAGCCACCGAGAAGTGACAAGAACACGAGGACCGATATTAGCTGAGCTCCTAGGAAGTATTTGGCCCTTCGTCTGAACTTCTTTTCTTCCTCTGACCTTTCCATTTTAGGTTTAGTTTTTGGCTTTGAACCTATACATTTTCCCTCAACAAGTCAATACAGATGATAACAAAGACATAAAAAAAAAAAAAGTGTGTCATTCAGAGAGAGATTAGATGAACTAAAAATTCTGAACGAGAAAAAGATGCAATAATCATCAAAAGGTTTACTGAGATGGAAGACATGGCGCTCAAACAAAAGAGAAAACTAACAACACAAAAATTATAACAATAGCATACCAAATTTCTGAACAAAAATGTCGCCTTATCTACATGGCTTTATAGCAAATCATTACTGCCTCAATATCCTAATATTATCATAAAGCCTTCCTCTTTCTATCTTCTTTTGTCTCCTCATTTTTGGGATCTTGACTTCTCAATTGCTCATTGTGTAGAAGTGAATAATAAAACCTCAAAACAGAACATAGAGTCCAGTGACATTAATAGTATAGATCTGCTGATCGCTTCATTCATAAATGGGGTATTTTACACATGGGTACCTGTGATAAGCCCAAGTGTGTGTTGATAGTCATAATTTCATTAACCTATGAAGCTAACTTTGACGATGTTAAAAACTAACATCTACAAATGATCCCTGACTGTTTTAGTGTATCAATTTATAATTTCAAACTTAAGTTTCCTGACACTGTAAGAACAAGTCTGTACCGAGCCTACAGCTCATTAATTAAATCCAATGGTTTGCCATTTTCAGGAAAATCAAGAAGCTATCACCTTTTCACAAACCTTCGTCTAAAATATGTTCTTCTGGATATCACATGCATACAGACTATGAAAGTGGAGAATAACAGATTTGTTGATCATTCCCTTGCTGTCTTGCCTCGACTCTCCAAGACAAGTTCAAATATCATGCAACCAATGAAAATGAACATGCTACAACTTAATGAATGTAGCAATACCCAAAGAGCAAGAAAATGTCATCCTATTCATTGAATCATGAGACATCACATGAGATATTGTATCTTACTCCAGTTAGAAAAGCCTCCTGGCTTTTTTGTTGAAGATGACGGCTGTCCTTCAGATGATGAAACTTTTGACCAAGCTGGAACCGCTGATTCTGGTGAAGAGTCAATGAACTCAGCACTGAGCTTTTCAGTATATTTCACAAGATTGCTGAAATTCAAAATCTTGCTCTTTAAAACCGATGTCTCCTACACATTTTAAATTAAAATTTAAAAAAAAAAAAAAAAAAAAAAAAAAAAAAAAAAAAACTTGGAAAATCTAACAAAAAGAAAACACAAAAGCAAGTACTGAAAGCTGAAAGAACTTAAAATAAACAGAAATACATCATGTAAATACATAAATCATAGGAACACTTAATGATCACTAATTCACTATATATAACATAACTAAAATTTCACTAAACTGACACATACTTAACTGTCAATTCTAAGTGATTTTTCATCTATCATTGTTCTTTTGAGCATATTGCCTCTAATTCTTCTTGATAACAGAGGTTGGCTACCAAATTATAACAAATAATCTACTATGTCTTACGACTATTAAGATTGCAAGGTAACGATGTGTACAGTCAATACAGAGTACTATCTACCTTAGGTGCTAACCATTTGGTCACAAATAAATGACACTTTCATTTATTGAGGTTTGACCTTACTCAAAATACTCCTTTGGCCAATCAAGAAGCTTAAAACTATCCAAAATTCTTCTTTGGAGTTTGGAAAATCAAGAAGCTCATTGAGGTCCACACTTTTCAGGACAATCAAGAAGCCAACACCTACTAGCCCACCTACATCTAGCTCAATAAATGAATCCAAGGGTCCCCACTTCATTTGATGGAACATGGCAAAAACCTACATTGGCACAATGTCATGGAAAACCCATATAGCAGAGAATCATTAACATCACTAGATTTCCTCTTCTTTTTTTTTTTTTTTTTTTTTTTTTTTTGGGATCCCTTTACTAGGCTAGCTTATGCCAAGAAGATAATTTAATAGATTGATATAAGATAAACTTGTGAATTTGCAAGGATATCAAACAGCTCCTCATAAGCATAAGCCAATTTAGGTTTTAAACAAATAACAAGATACAGATCAACTTGAAACCACGTATAAGTTAGTTTTTATATGCACAAAGCATTTTTTTTATTCAAATAAAATATTAATAATTACCAAGTTTGTTACATTTGGCATTTTAGATATGAATTCTCAATAGAACAACAGTACATGTCTGGTAACTTACAGGTAAAGCCTGAAGGGCAATCAGCGAGTGACCAAGGAATAAGGCATCCAAACTACTAGGCCTACAATAAAAAGGCAAAATCAATCCAGGCTGAATCAGTATTAACATTTATCTTGTGTTTTGCATACTAATAAAATAAACTAATGTCAACAATTGCAGACGAACCTGTCTCCATAGAGATAAGAATCCTCCCCCAACTGAGTTGAAAGAGCTCCATATGCTAAGCTCGCCCTCCTATAGATCTGTAGAAAAAAGAGGATTACAGATTAGAAAAACATGAGCTAAAGAAGCAGGATAAATTTTAAGCTTCATAGAAGGGGTAAAGGGAATATATAGACAGGCAAAGTTCACAACAGTGCTTGGTGATAGGAGGGAAAAATTATTCACTCAAACTCCAAAAAACGGCATCCGTTACCACAGAACTTGTAAACAAACAAGGAAAGAGATGCAATGACTGATCAAATCAGATCAAATACTTGTCCATTCACAAATCAGAATAACAAATATCAGAACAAAGTTTGACCTCAGTTTCTATTCTCTCGGCATTTTCATTGGTGATTCCAAGATGGCTCTTCACAGCATGAATTTGCTTGAAGTAGAGAATAGTTCCAATGGGCCATGCAAGATCAGAATAGTAGATCTTTTGTACAGACTTTTTGTCTGAAGCTATCCATAGCTCATATACAAGGGCATCCACAAGCCAGCTGCTAACCATCGCCTTCATTGATATCCATTCTGGGATAGTGTGATAATCAGAGTCCAAATCAACAATACCATCTTCTCTTAAGCGATTGATGACCCCGCCATTCTCATTGTTGTAGGCCACGTAAGAATCAGACTCAACATATGGAATTTGATCTAAAAATATAAGAACATAAGGCCATGTCATATAGATTATAATAACTCAGGCATTTCAGGAAGGTTTATAAAAAGCATAAACAATAGATTCTGTAGGTATAACTCATGCCTTATTATAATAACTCAGGCATTTCAGGAAGGTTTATAAAAAGCATAAACAATAGTTTCTGTAGGTATAACTCATGACTGATAATTGACAACTGTGATTATCTAGCACACTGTAAGGTCAGATGAACATGAAATGAAAAAATCCAACTAGGGTACTTAAATCACACCAATGGTGTAACAAGCTGAAACAACCTATAACATAAAAATAAATACACTTCTTTTGAAATTTTTCAATAAATATAATTTCGCAAGAGACATCCAAGTCAATTTTATCTAGTCAAAGTCTGCTAGGAGGTCAATTCATTATATACACCTATTAGGCACTAATTTCCCTACTGCTACTTTGCTTGTCAAAAAAAGGGGGAATAAGGCTACCACAATCCTATAATTAAGACTTTTTTCATATATCAATGTGTTGTTACCACTCCCTTCACCCAATAAAGTTTGTGTATCTTATTCTATTGGGTCAGACACTTACATGTTATCCCTCGTATCATGAACTTATCTTCACCGTTGTCTATCCTTCAAATTGTGGGATGACTTCCATATTTCCAAAATTAACCGATTGATTTTTTTTTTTTTAGTTGATTTTTTACGGTGTGCAAAGTAATATTTTGTTTTGCCAACCTATGCAAAGTTACTTAATAGATATAATATTTCTTTTTCAGCTTCCCCCTACTTTTCCCTAGAAAAGAAATACGAAGTATATTGTAAACCCTTCTTCTAAATGGTATACATACATGTTGGAGAAATGAAATCTTTGCGGGGATATAAGGAAACACCTCTCTAAGATCTTCGACTACTTTAAGGTAAGCCACATATTTCTTAAGGTCCACACACCCAGCCTCATTGGATACACAGTTACTGATATGTTGTCGTTACTATAGCTGGTATTTTTATTAGTCTTCATATAAAACACACCTAATCTTGTTATCTCTCTATTCTCACTAAAAATGTACATGCTTGGTAGCCTAGGTGAGCAAAATGCTAAAACTCCATCCCTGGACATCTTCACACTGAAAACAGATTATCCAACCTATGTTATTTAAGCTCCAAAAGGAGCATACTCATTATAAAAGCTATGAATTATATCTAAAGAATCATACTAAAGCCAATACTGCAAGGTTGGATGAGTTATGGAAGATATTATCAGTCTCTGATGTGTATTTCAGATGGGTTGAGATAGACAATGGGTGAGAGATTAGGTAAAGGGGAGCAGCTAGTTGGACGGAAAGATTATGCAAAAAATGATTCTACATAGCTTCAAATTATGCAGAGTATAAGTTCTGCAGTATGTAAATTTAAAATCTGGCCAACTCGTATTTAGAAGTAATACATCACCAACTTGATCCCATGTAATTGTAGTCCTTGTATTTCTGATCACTCTGAGGTAAAGCTCAAACAGGTTTTAGCTACTTTTTGCAAATTATACTAGCAATATGGACAGTAGTATTTACAAAATTCATTTGCATTATTATTCACATTTAAATTGGAATCAATGCCACTACCTACCACCTGATTAGAACTTTTTTCCTTGGTCGTGCCAAATGACATTCAAGTATCTCAATCTGGGGTGAATTTTGAACTGTTGGCGAAACACTGATGGCTAATTATTCGACCAAGTAGGCTCTTATCTTTACAACAAGGAAATTTTGTGACTACTCATTTCTGACTGAGTTTCAACTGATAATTTATAGGCCTAAATGCGCAAAGTCCATATTTGTTACTTAGATTATCCCTGATGTTGATCTTGACATCTAAGAATAGGTGTAAGAATGTTGAGTAAAATTTTTCAATAGACACCAGCTAAACCCGTTTCCTTTGTCGCAAAATCACAATGCATCAACATTAGCATTTTCACTGATACCCCGTAGTATACTTAGAAGTAAGATAAACTGTTGTTCCATTCACAAAATCTAGTCCATACTTGCAAGCAATCCAATGATTCTTCCTCTGAAGTACCAGTCATTAAATTTTTGGGCTATACGAACTACACAACTAATCCCACAAGATCCTCGGCTCAAATCAAGCACTACCTGAGCCAAAAATGCCTACCCAGAAATAATTCATGCCAAATAAGGGTATCTAAAATCACTAAGTCGCCCCCAAAAGATACAATTTATCTCAAATTCAGCTGCAATGAAATATAATTTCCAAACCAATAAACCCAATATAGCATTCTTCAGGAATCAAACCAAATTTCCAACACCAAAATCTACCAGACTTACATGACCCACAACACATTTCCCCAATATAAAGCAAAAGGCAATGCACAAACAAGAAATAGCAACCAAAAAAAAAAAAAAAAAAACATAATAACAATAACAACAAAAACCCCATTAACATTAAGTGAGAAATTAATCAAATTTCCAGCAAACTAACAAGAACCAAGACATAAAAATGGGAATTCATAGTTGAAAACAGTACCTGAATCAGGAAAAGTAGAATGGAAGCACAAATCAAAGGGAAGACGAGCAAATTTGAGATAAAAGTAAACAGGCAAGCAATCGGGGCAAGCAGTGGGAAGGCCAAAGCAAGGCTTAGTAGTCACAAGGGTCAATCTTGATTCTTCCATTAAAATGAGCTTGCTTCAAAAATAACAAGGAAGGGAGAATATGAGAATATTGGAATTTATTAGACGAAGTGGAAATTTGATTGATTTGGTCCGTCATGCAAGAAAGAGGCTTGGGTAAGGGTTTCTCACTTTCTCGGTGGTTTTTTTTTTTGTTATTTATTTATTTATTTTAGCGATTTTCCTAAATAATGCTAAAATGCAAACAATATCCTTATACGAGTACAAGTCAAATTGGTACGAGTATTTATCCGTATAAAACCGCTAACAATAACAATATTGGCGGTTCTATATATAGAACCGCTAGTGGTATTGGAGGTATGTGTAAAGAGCCACTAACACCATTAAAGGTTCCATATCCAATTAGCAATTCTAAGGGTCCATTCTGTTCACCTTATTTTCACTTATTTCAGCTGTAATAAGTTCAGATAAGTTCCGTTAAAAAAAAAAAAAAAAAAAAAACAGATAAGTTTAGTTTAGGAAAATTAAGTTCTAATAAGAGTTACTCAAGTACAAATTATAACTAAAATAAATTTTAACAAGTTCTAATAAGTTCAGATAAGTGAAAATTAGGTGAATTAAACCCATCCACTAGTTTTCACTTTTGCCAAATTATATAACCACTAATGGTATTACCAAATTGTTTAACACTATTCGAGGTTCTATGCACAGAACTTTTAATACAATAAGTGGTTCTATTTTTGTTTGAACTTCCAACAATGTTAGTGGTTTTATACTTGCAAATACCAAACCTTGAACTGATCCTGCGTGGACGGTATTGTGAAAAATACATCTCTACTTTATTTTTTGTTTTAAGGGGAGGAAGTATTTTTAAACCAATGTATATAAGAAATTAGTTTATGTTATTACATTATTAAGGAAAATCACTCTTCTTTTTCTTTTCTTTTTTTTTTTTTAAACCAGGAAAATCACTCTTTTTATTGTTGGTTAAGTCCATCCAAATAATTGATACAATGAGTAATGCATGTGCAAATAATCAACCAATTGTAGTAAATTGTGATTTTCCCTCAAGAAAACATCAATTGTAATTTTATTCAACATCCAATGATTCAACAACAATCGATTGATTAGGTGTTAATGCATTGAACAATTTTGGTAAGTTTAAAAAATTAATTATCGTGTTATAAAGAGTATGCAGGTGTTAATGAATTGATGTTAAGTTTACAACATCAATTGTCTAGGACATTGTTTGAGGCTCTGAGCAACTCAACAAGATTCATATGCATGTGGAATTGATGATACTCCCATTCGAAAATTGGTGAGTACCATTATTTTTTATTGCAAAATGCTCTGTTAGATTCTCCTTATTATAAATTTTCTAAATATCAACTTTTTATAATTTTCACTAATACATAACCAAAGAAATTCATGGTCAAAGATGTTCATTGAAAACCGCGCAAATGCTAAGTGAGTCGAACTTTCAGAAACGGAAGGAGTATTTCCAAACAAGAAAATTGTTTAAAATGAGTAATAATTTTTTGGTCATTTTGTTTTTTTGATGAATTTTTTTTGCTCATTTGACCATTAAATAACTTTTGATAACAAGATGAGCAAACTGTAGTACTCCCCTCGTTTCTTTTTTTTATCTTCCCATTTATTTCATGTGGTCAAACTTATAAAACTATGACCGTATTTTGTAATTACAATATCGTAAGAAAAAAAAAATCACCATGTGGGATATTGTTGGATTTGTTGCAATTTGTACTTTCATAATACTTCCTCTGTTTTTTTTTGTTTTTTTATTTTTTTATAAGCTAGAGTTGGATTTACACATTTGCCAAAACACAACTTTGACCGTTAATATCTTTAATTAGAGGTTAATAGAATTATGAAAAAATAATTTTAAAAAGTAGACATTATGACAAATCTAACAACATATTTTATGATAATATTTATATATTATATATTGGTAAAAAATTAAGTCAATGATGACCTATGACTAGTGGAAGTTTCCAACTCTAGGTTATAAGAAAAAAAAACGGAGGGAGTATCAAATTTTCAAAAGTTTTAGTAATAAGAAACTAGATGAGATATTAATGGTCAAAGTTTTCCTTAAAAAAAAATTAAATATCAATGGTCAAAGTTGTAACCAAAAGAGTGCACAAAACACGAATGGAAATATAATAAAAAAAAAAAAAAAGAAGAGAGAGATTACATGATTTTTTTTTTCCATTCATTCTAAAAATGAGGAAGAGGCGACGAGGCGTGATAGAATTTTGCTCAAATAAGTTTGTCTATTTGCACAAATAAGGGTTTATTTTATTTTATTTTATTTTTCCACATTTGTGTAAATGTATTGAGTTTTTGTTCAATTGTACCATGAACAAATTTATTTTGTTTATTTGTTAAATGAATAATTTTGACAACACAATAATTAAATTGGCTTTACAATGAGCGAGAAAACAAATTAGTTTGTGTACATGATTTATTTTCCATTTACAGATAAGTAACATCGATAAAACTCTGGTTAAACATATTTGTTTTCTACACAAATGAGTACATTTTGCTCATTTGCACAAAATGAACAAATTTGCCTTAATCCTTCTTCTTCTTCTCAAAGTAATTTATCTACTACTATACATCTTTAACTCAACAAGGTTTCTTAACTCAAATAATATAATAATTAAATCCAATCAAACTATATACTCTACATGGTCATTAAAAACTTACCAATTTTCCCAGCAATTGTTGAAGTTCACAAATTGAACTTTAATTTTCTACAATGGTACAAATTAAACTTTAATTATTCGTTTATGCATAATTGTGGGGGTACTTGTTCTGTCAACTAGGACTCTTACACTATTCATTCACGAGTACATTTTGCACTTATTTCATATTAACACATTTTTCTATTGGGAAATTAGGTTATTTTTATTTCATGAACACTAATGTATTACTACCTCTGACCCTATTTTTTTTGTCCCATTTGACTTTTCACGGTTTTCAAGACGTGTCTTAAAACATGTATAACTCCAATTCTATATGCATAAAAATCATAAAAACTTGATATTAATAATACAGAAAATGAGACAAATCTAACAAGACCCCACTCGATTATATTATCTTACAGATTAATGAGAATTTACGGTCAAAGTTTTAAAAGTTTGACTCAATTATTTACAATGGGGCAAAAAATAGGGAAGGAGGGAGTAGTTTTTATCCATAAAACACTAGTATGTTATTTTCTTAGAAATCATTGTTATTGTCTCCCAAACTCCTACTCATATTTTTTATGAACGCATATTATTTCTCTATAAGCTAGTTTGCTAAATTGTATGTACATCGGTACTTCGGTACTCTTGATGAGACCGTGAGAGTAAAATAAATTGTGCATTTTCTCTCAACATGAGTATTTTTTTTTATTTTTTTTATGAGTTTTGATGATATCAAAAGATAGCCAAAATGGTCTCCAAATCCAAGATTTGACCTATAGCCTCCTCGACCAAAACTCCCCAAAAACTATCCAATTATAGGTACAAAATAAAATAGGACATTTAGGCAATTGACCCTTTAGATTTTGGCACAAATCTAGTAACAACAATTGCCAAATAATACAAACAAAATAAAAAAAATTAAAAAAAAATATTAAAAAAACAGAGGAAAAGCAGAGGAGTGTGAGAGGAAGTGTGTAAAAGGTACAAGTGTACGTGTCAAATGGAAATATTAATGTGCACTATCCTTTCAACATTTGATGCCAATTTTCTACGTTAGTTGCCCTTTTACTTTGCCTTGTCTTTTTATGCCAACAACAGCAAAATTGTACCTAAATTTTTTAGATATATCCCTTCATATTTGGGTTCCTTTGTCTAGAATTAGCCCCTTTTTCCTTATATATGGGGGGACCCTTTATTTGTTTTAAGATAATATTATAAAATATTATTTTTATATAAATATATAAAGTTAATGAAGTTTAATTAATCCTATTTCAAAGACTTGGGTTTTGTCCAATTATTGATTATATTTTCTCTCTCACTCTTTCTCTCTCTTCAGTGGACTTATTCTCATTTCATCAAACTACAGAGGAAGAGGGGGTCTAGGGTTTTGCTCGAAACTTTGGAAATTTGTGATTTATTATACTTGGTGAGTTTTTTCTTATCATTTTGGCTTATATGGGTTATTTTTATTTTTTCATTATATTGGTTGAAAATTTGATTTTGTGTTTAGGGTTTTGCTTGGTTATTTTTTAATAATAATATGCTCTGCTTATGTTGACCTTTGTTTGGCAAAAAGAATTTGTCTTTTTTGTAATATTTGCTTGAAATTGGTTATTGGGTGACTGAAATTTAGTGGGTATTTAGTTGAACTCTGTTTTTCGATTTTTATGCTTGTTGAATGAACTTAGTGCTCTGTTTGGTTAGTTAGCAACCTGAAATTGTTGAAAAGTTTGAAACTTTAGCTTTAAGATTGTATTTTTTTCTAGCTTGAGGGGTGGAAATTGTACTAGTGTATCTGTTGATTCTGTTGTTTGTAGTTAAGATGCTCTAACTGTTTGTTTGAAATCGCGTATCGAAATGATTCTGGTGCTAGTGCCAAATATATGCATTTAGTCTCCACTAACATTTTTTTTTATTTGGTTTCAGTGGCCAAAGAGTTTAATCTTTAGTATATAATAAAACCCTAGTTTAAAAATCAAATCTTTCGAGTTTTCCTATTCAGGGATATTCCTAAATACGCGTCCCTACCTAAGTAGAGCATGTAGTATAAGATAAAGGTAGAGAGCAATTTCAACTTGATAGTGGCGATTTTTGTGGTTTGAGGAAGTAATGAATTATGTTCTTATGTTGGGGAAGTGAGTAGTTGTTTGGATACATAGTTAAATTTTGGACTTGTGAATGGAGGGACTATGGAAAAGCTCTTAATGAATATGTTTTAAGAAATGGGAGTAAAGCCAGAGGATTAGTTGAGCTTACTTATTACTTTTGGGGTACTCGGGCCCCATTTTAGGGCCAAAAAAATGATGCAAAGAAACTAGTTCATGCTCCGTCTTCATCGAACATGTTGTCTGTTTTGCAGGAAGATGAATTTATTCAATAATTGGTATTCTTGGAGAGTATAAATTATTTGGGTAGGATGGCAACTGAGAGTCCTATTAGAATGCTTGAGGCACGTGGAAAATGGTCCCCTCACAAGGGTGGTGCAAATTTTTCTTCAACTAAGATGGCTGTGGATGAGGAAGCACTGTATGTTAAGGGTCAAAAGTACCATGGTAGTAGGGGTTCTGTTCCCAATCGAAGTGGTAGTGCGCCCCCAAACATGGAAGGTTCTCTTGCAGCCATAGAAAGTCTCATGCAAAATTCAGGTCTTAGTGCTAATTTGGCAAGTCTAAGTTATGATGGAGAATTCAGAGGGTCGAAAGGGATGTTAGTTTCTTATTCATCTCCTGGTTCGAATTACCCTTCCAATGTCAGTTTGA